ATATATATGTATGAATCAGAAGGATGCCACAGTGTAATTGTAGTAAATTCCTAAAAATTTATGTATTTTTAACTCATTTATAAAAAAAATATATATATATATTAGATAGAATTTCTAGTTTTTTTTCCAATAAAGAATATCTTGCTATCTGTGCAAAATTCTCAATTTATTCAATTATTTATTTACTCTGCTACAAATTTTATGAATGATAAATGATGAACGGATTAGCTGCCAGAACCATTAACTATTATGTTATTGTACTATACGGAATAATTTTTTCCGTTCTTTTACGCCATTCCATCGTTAAAAGATTAAGATCAATATACATGTTATATTGTATAGCAAATCAAATAATTTCATCTAACACAAACTAAACTAATAAATATATTCATTTGCCATTTAAAATATCAGCCTACTATGGGTAATTGATAATTTTCCCATTTTCATTTAGTCATTTTGCCATTACTGGATTAAGGAAATTATAAATGCAAAAGTTAAACCCGAATTAAAGATTCGTTTCAAATAAGTACTTTCTTTTTGATCTATATCGAATTAAAATCTTTTTAATATGACTCACAGTTCATACTGTATGCAGTGTAACGTCTTTGAAAGATGTAACAATGTAACATATTTGATATGCAATCACTTTGACATTTTTGATTTTTTGCATGTGACAAACTAATGGCTTTGTAAAGTTTTCCATTAAATAATAAGGTTATCTAAATAATCAGATAAAAAATTGGCATTGTTCTGTCAAAACTTTCAGACATCGGATTTTGTTATGGGTAATTTAACTTCATAATTTTCAAAGATTTTAAACTCCAATTTGTGTTTACGAGGCTCCTCTTAGTTTTAGTACATACTTACAATGTAAAGTAGTCATATTATTGTTTGAACAATATTTGTTTTATATAAAAGTAAGAATTTCTTTCTTAATTTAAATAAAAGATATTTTGCCTTGTTACCCAGATTTGCTAATTGAAATAAAAAATTAGGTGATCTGCGGTATACAATTATACAATGAAACTTACTAATTTAGTACTGATGCTTGTACTATCATATTGTTAGTTTTTTTCCCACGTATGTTATATTTTTTAAATTGACGTATAATAGATTGTTCTTGAATTAATAAATTTAGTTGTATCTAAAAAAAAATCAATTTTTTTCATATCTGTATTTGTAATTCTAAATTGAGTTGAAAAAATAAAATTAAAAGTTATTCTTTAGGTTCCTCAACTCGATCAGATTTTTCAGGTTTTAATAAAAGTCAAACTTCAATATAACGATATGTTGGGATCCATATGAAAATCTTTGAAAAATAATATTATATCAGAATTATACCGATATTTATTATGTTCTCTCGTATATATGTAGTAGTAAGAAAGTAAAATTTTCGTTATATCGAGTTTTAACGTACGGTTCACCGAATTTTTATATAGTGAATAACTTGCTATAATGAAGTAAAGAAGTAAAGTTCAGGCACAGATTTATTATGTATAATAAAATGAACCTCAGTATAGCGAATTTCTTACTATAATGAATTTTAATCTCCAGCCCATGGGATTCACTATAGTGAAGGTGAATTGTGTATCGGTATATCGAATATTGGTATATCGAGGTCTAACTGTAGGTATAAAAAGAGATCAATATTATTAACGAATTTCCTTTTCTTTTAAGATTCAAATAATCAATACTTTTTTTTTATAAAAAATAATAAAATTGTCACCTAGAAAATTTTTCGTAACGAAATTAATCAAGGTATATAAAAAATTATTGGAAAGAATAGTTTCATGGGATTTATCTCCTAATAAATAACATTTGTCGCAATGAGATTTGGTTTTCATTAAAATTTCAAAGTTAATTAATAATTCTCATTCTTATCGCCAATAAAAATAGGGTCAATGCTTGTTTCCCGACATAGTACTTCATTCTCCAACCTTTTTAAGGTAATAATTTATTGACCGTAATGATACATACTACAGTTACTACACTCCCTTATCTCACAAATCTGAATCATTTATTTTGAAAGCCTTATACAATGGGTTGTATGAGAGAATGCTATCGCTTAGAAAATGAATTCCTTTATTTTTTTGCCGATTATAGACTAATTAATTAGTCTTATTATTCAGAAATTTCCATATTAGTAACACTAGTAATTTGCTGTACAAGGGCGAAACTATCATTTAAAATAACTGCAAAATTTTTATATCTTTCATTGAACTTCGTTTTTTCATTGGCCTTCGTTTTTTCATTTAGAAAATAAAAATCTCTATCGATTTATCGATTTGAATATGTTATTGTTAGGCTATTTTTAGAATTCGATATGAAGTTTGTGAGTCATATGAGATTGTACCGCCGATCACAAATTTTTAACAAAAAGTTTTACCTCGTCATTTCCAGCATCGTTTCCTTCTTCCGACAAAGGATATTTTTTCGTGTTCTTTAAGGAAAAATTATAATGACGATAATAATTCTAAGGTATATAAGAAATCTTTTAAATAAGAATATTTTGTATTTTTATGAATGAATCACCAAAAAGAAGAAATTCAATGATTAGAACTGTCGTCACGTCTATTTCTTGTTCGCATTTTTAAGGTAACTGGCTTTTATTGTGATTTTGTGATTTTTTTTTTAAAAAAAAAATGTTCATTTACATTGAATTATTTCTAAAATAAATTTATTTTTTTTTTAAAAAAATCTATTTACGGATTTTTTTTCGGTATAATTCTTCGATCTATAAAAGATGGATTAATATCAAATGTACTCCTGAAGATATCCCATTGATCTATTGTTACGTATATATGCAGATAAAAAAAGATTTATTGTAAGTTGTCATTTATCAATTAATTGAAGTATTTATTTGATTATTATTTTATTTACTTATTTACGTATAATTATTTATTTGATTTTGCTTCATTTAAAGTCTGAAGAATTGAATTACTACTTAATTTTTAATTGGATCGGTCTTCAAATAGCAATTCCAAATGATAATATGGATGCATGAAAGTTTTCATATCTAGAAATAATTCAAAAAGATGGATATAATCTTTCTTTCTATATACGAAATTTTGATGATGGATTTGCTCATTTTCTCTTTCATTCTTTGCAATGACAAAATTTTGTTGTTTTTGTATGTATCGGTAAAAATTCTCCACTTTGATAAGAAAAATTCGGTAATTACCGGAGTACCGAAAGTAACGGCGAAAACCGAATCAACTGTTGCTCTAAAATAGTTAATAATTACAGAATTTATTACGTGGAGTTATTCATTCGTTTTTTGGCTTATAAATGGTAAACATTTTATAGAGGAGCATTTTGAAAATGAAAAAAAAAAAAAATTGTGTATGACATCAACAAATAGAATGTGATTTTTATTTATAAATCTCATAAGTAACTGTTTGCTTTAAAGATGTTTGCTTATTAAATATAAATCAGTTTTTTGAATCAAATTTTTGGTCGGTTTAAAAAAGTTACGTCATCCCAAGAAATCTTGGTATATTCGTATAGGTCGTACAGCACATAAATGAAGAATTGGCCAAATTTATATAACAAGAATTTTTGGACTAAATTTAGATATTAGCTTAGCTAATATTATTTCGAAAATAAAAATTTCTTTTGTAAAATATAAAATATAAATAATCATAATTTATTTGTAATTTTTTTTTTTTTTTTCTTATTTCCAAACTTCCAAGTTCAAATCTAACATACATTCGACTGATTCGAGATGATCAGTTCTAAATTTGGAAATAAGAAGATTCATAAAGAAGTTGGAATTGAGAATGGAAGAATAACTGGAAGTCAAGTTACTGTACAATCTTCCTAATATATTTCAGCGCCTTCTATTAATTGAATATTCTACTGTTCTTTTATTTTATCATGAACGAACATAAAGAAATTTTACTACCATAAATCTTACTACTAAAAATTCTAAAAATATCTGAATTTCCATATATCATTCATCTTTGAATGAAAAACGAAAATCAAAAAAAAAACAATAAAAACTGATTCAAATTAACCATATTACCATTCAATAATTTTCCTAATATGGCAATCATGTGTAAAAACCAATCCCAAATCAAGGAATTATAGAATGTGGAGAGGGATTTGTTGCACGGGCTATTATTCAAGTTGAAACTTTTCAGTTCTCCTTGATAAACCTTATCCATTATCAATATTATCAAAAAGAATTTTATTTATTTATTTATTTTTTTTTTAAAAAAAAAAATGAAAAAATGAATGAAATATATTATATAAATAAATATATACGAAAATCATTCTGCAAAGTGATAAAACAATGATTATTTATCCACCTGATCATCTATTTTAATATTACCGGGAGATTGTCCGACTCCTTAAAAATAGCCATTTCTGGTTAGTACTTTATAATATGTATAAATAATGCCCCTTTTGAAAGCTTCCATTTATAAGATCTTTCTTTCAGTTTAAAGTATAAAAAGTCTTAAAATTTCCTTGATAAATTTTTTAAGGAATATTCTTAAAATTACAAATAAGTTATAATTCCTTTTTCGGGTTAAAGAAAATATTTATTTGTAAGTTAAGGTTTAAAAATTATTGCTAATTTAATTGATTTATAAAAAATAGATTTCTTTAATAATTTTTTTTTTTTTTTTAAAGTCAAATAAGTGACGATCCAATTAATAAAGAATTTTAAGNTTTTTTTTTTTTTTTTAAAGTCAAATAAGTGACGATCCAATTAATAAAAAATTTTAAGAAGAAAATAAATACTACGGTTTGTGAAGGTCTTTATTTTCAGCGGTATTAGTTTGTAATATACAGAACCATGAATTCATGGTTAGAAATAATTCGAACCATATTTTTATAATGCAGGTCATATTTAATAATGCAGGGTCATATCTCAAGATGGAAGAGGACAGTTACCAAGGACATAAGTTTATTCCAAAAGAGTTAAAGGACTGTCCCGAATGCGGAAAGCCTAGAATCTCTTTCGGATGGTGCAAGTATTGTGAAACTAATTCCATGAAGGAAAATTTTCTTTATTGGACATCTGAGAATAAAGAGATTGATGAATTAATTCGCCATACTCAACTTAATGCCTCTCAAACTTGCGATTATTTGGAGTGGATCCCGTTCGAGAAATTTGAAATGGTAAAATACATTGGTAGTGGTGGATTTGGTAGTGTCTATTCAGCACTTTGGATGGAAGGACCAAGATGGAATTGGGATGATGGTGCGCAAGAGTGGGCTCGAGCTGGCCCTATGACTGTTGCTTTGAAACGTCTTGATAATTCACAGAAAATTTCGAGCTCTTTCATCAATCAGGTAATGATAATAATAATATTATTAAGCACTGTTTCGGTAAAATTATTTTCCGATCTTTAGTAACGTTGTATATCCATCTATTACATCTATGAAGATTTAAAGTTGTACTAGTTGTACTAATAATTTTTTCATAATGATGATAATCATTTATTTATAGATTAAAACGTATCACAAATGCTTGCAATCGGCATCGTTGGCTGAGACATTTGGAATTACAAAGGATCCAACATCTAATTATATGATAGTTATGAAGTATTACGAAAATGGTAACTTATATCAATATCTAGACCGTTCTAATGGAATTCTTTCCTGGAGAGATATGATTGATATGTTGTGGGGAATAGCTGGAGGTCTTGAAAGAATCCATGCTGAAGGTAAAGTTCATAAGAATCTTCACGGAGGAAATTTACTTATTGAGGACGAAAAAATTTCAACTGACGCACGTATTGGAGATGTGGGCCTTTATGGACCAAGCTATAATATTGAAAATATTAAAAATGAAAATCCCAATCAAATTTATGGGGTTTTGCCATACGTTGCACCGGAAGTTTTACGTGGTAAGAATTACAGTACAGCTTCCGACATATTTTCATTTGGTATTATCATGAATACTCTTGCAACTGGGCAAAGACCTTGGTATAATAGAGCACACGACTATAATTTGGCAAATGATATATGTAACGGTTTAAGACCTGCAATCCCAGATGATACACCAAAATTTTATGCAGATTTAATGGAACAATGTTGGGATGATGAACCAGAAAACCGTCCGACAGCATCATATTTAAATGAAAAATTAGGCGAATGGATTACTTTAATTTGCGACGATCCGAGTCCTTCTCAAATTTCAGATGAAAGTTCTGTTGCTGAAGAGAAAAGGTGGAAGATGATTTCACAATTGTCTAAAAAATATAGTCATCCAGAGAAGCATCCCGATGCATACTATACAAGTAGGCCTCTGTGGTTTCATGGATTGTCAAGTAATATGACGAGATGCCATTCCAATTACAGTGGTAAGGTTTCTCTTTTTGACAAGTTTCGCATGATCAGAAGTTAATTACGTTGCTTTGGCTATACAGTACATTAGACTGTGTAAGTTGCGCTATTTTTTTTTTCCCCATCTTTCGACCGTATATCACTATCAAAGCTAAAACTCGGAATTTATACCGAAAAAATCGGATAGAAATTTATGAATATTTTAAGCACTTTAACTAAGTTTATAAAATTATGCTAATTTTATTATGTACCAAATTACAATTATATGATTATCTTATTCAATTGATTATTTTTATTTTATCTTATTTTGATGATTATGACATTAGTTATCAAATTATAGTTTTTACAAATTGTTTATGTGATATGTGATTAGATATCAGATATATTATTATTATTATTATTTAAAATTATGATACTTTTGATTTTTATTAAGTTTAACTTACTAATTTTGTCTGTATTTTTTATTTATTTTTTTTTTTTAAAAAAAAAAATAGTTGATGTTAATTACTATATACTGTAATTTACTGTATTATAGCTTTGATGTATCAGAAGCAGTTCGGAAATTCCAAAGGTGTCAAAAAGTTGGAACGGACATTTTTTCTGAATGTGTCCAACATTTTCCGGACCTCTTTTTTTTTTATAAAACCTTGATTCTGGCTGCATTTTAAGTTTGGCCAAAATTAAGGAAAATGTACAAAAGTTAATCGGAAAATCGATGGTCCGAAAAATAAAACCCCCCTTAAAACCCCTTCAAATTGTAAAACAATTAAAAAATTACCCCATAAAATTGTATATCTATTATTATAGTAATTGTATACAAAAATGTTAAACAGAGAAGTTTCTTTCTTTGTCGAACTGTCTTTTTTAGTTAATATAAGCAAACTCCCATATTATTTATTTAGGTAAGTTTTATTATATTGAAACACTAAAAATAGAGATTATTTAAAAATTTATTAATATTATTCAAAATATCCTATTGATGTACGAATTAGTATAAATTAATTAAGTTTACAAAGGTATCTTGTAACAAAGATATCTTATCTCTTTATTATCTTTATTATTTGCATTTCCTTAAATTTTGTATAATAATAATCAGTATGATATAATAATAATCTTTTTTATGCAGATCGGAGTAGTGGACTTTAAATTCCGATTAATTACATATTTATACGAAAATATCCTATCAATTTATAATACAAAGCAAAGCACAAAATCATTCATTGTCAATGAACATAATGAATTTTTTAATTATATTTGTAACTCAAACTTTTATAGTGATCCTTGTATGCATCCCGAAATTTGAACCGAAATAAACATAGTCGATCGGCCGTAATCTCGATCCTAAGCCAAATGTAACCATTTTAGGTTAATTTGATATTGGCTGGATAGTTACTTTCAAAAAATTACTAATTCATCAGGAATAAGTAATAATTATTATTAATTCTTTCATTTTTGACAGCATTTACGCCTCCCAAAAAAAAAAAAATTAATCCCGAGAAAAAAAATTCGGCTCGTCGATTAAAAAAAAAATAATTATCGGTGAATCATAAATCCGGTTTCGTAATCTTAATTTATCATATTTTAACATCCTTTGAAAAAAATGGTAAGAATGTAATATTTTTTTTTTTTTTTTCCAAATATTTAGAAAAAGCTGCAAAAAAAATTATTTACTATTTTCATAAATAATTTTTTAATTCATTATGTTATATTGACATTCTAAGAAAAGAATTTTCAAGTTGAGTGTCATCCGTTTTTTTGCTTAGTTTTGGGCATCGACCGAAGAAACAATTTCTTATACAGTACAAATAATTAAGTTATTCGAAATCAAAAATGAAATAAAAAAAAACGCGAACGAGTGTTCGATTCGGTATAAATTCGGATTCAAAAAAAAAGGAACAAAGCGGATTCAAATTGAATTTACGAAAATACAAAGCGTTATAGCGTTGTCAAAAATATCATATATGGACTGTTCAGCATTTTTATTTAAATAATATATTTTTATCTGGATCATGTGCTTTGATCAAAAGACTCCGACGGAGTTTCTGACACAACACAATTTTATTACCAGTTCCGACAATAACAAGTCTCATAATTATTGGAAGGTCTATAAGAAATATATCTCTTAATGGACGTAATATGAAAGTTTAACTGATATATGCATGAAATTAAGAAAATGCTATATTGCGTGCAAAATTATTTATAGAATGTAAAAGAGCATCAAAATTGCCAAAATTGAAATACAGTTAACTTGATTTTCAGTTACTATCTGATACAAACATAACGTGCCGCCTAAATAGGAAAAAGTGCTCTCGTGTGATAACAAATGCCATATACATCATGAGATAACAATGAGGTCGGTTTGTATTTCCAAATACTAACCGTAAATATTTTAATTAAATGTTATAGTGGCTATCTTTTATTATTAATAGCCTCAAAAAGACAAAATTAAAGTTCAAAATGATAATCTAATTTGAAATGTTTTTGAAAGTGTAAATACGGATCAGCATGTCAAATGACTCATTGTGATGTATGTGTTAAACAATAACGTAGTTTCTAAAAAAGACTTTATTCATGTTTTTAGAAAGTTATTATCACATGTAAATTAGAGAGCCAAATAAAATGACTAAATCATGATTAAGCTCCTTAATCTCAAGCCAAAATTCATTCATTTATTCATTTAACGGTAAAAAGTGTAATAAGTAAATAAGTTCCAAAAATAATTAATTATTTTTAGTTTTTTTTTTTTGAACTCCTTAATTTGGCTCGACACCTGTTAAAAATGGAATAAAGGGAGTTTCAGTTGAAAAGTGATGGGTGAGTATAAGAGTATCAGGTTCAAAGTTGTATATTATGTAAATCACCCGATATTATAATGATTAATGAGGAATGGTTGATCATTTCTGCTAGTATTAAAAAAAAAATTAACAATGACATGCTTTTTTTTTGATTCATGTATATCAACGATTAGGCTACAAACACTAATTTTAATATTACTTGTTTTTAAAGAATAACAAAAAAAAACACAATTTCCTTTTTATACTTTTTTGAAAGGGATTTTCATGTTGATTAACCAAAATTAATTATCGGAGTTTGTTTATTTTAAGGAGTAAATGAGTAATGGAACATTATAGATCACGTGATCGTTTTGCCAAGAAAAATCTTAATTAGCAGATACGTATAATCAAAAACAGCATAACAATTTTCTCTAGCTTATTCTTATATAGTTCTGGTCATTAATTAACTTTTTTTTTTAATGATCCGCATAATATCATCCATTCACGCTCCATTATACATTTAATCTCACCTATTTCGAAAAATTAAAAGCGCAATGGTGTTACCAAATTTATTTCGTAACTAAATGGTCGACTTTGTTAACTTCAAAGTTGCATACAAATTAGCTCAAATAAGAGCTTTTATTTTCTTTCATTTTACAAATCCAGATCAATGATTTTGTCCACATCATGAAATTTTTAGGTACTTCGGTCCATGTAATTTCACATGAATTAGTTCAGAAATATGTGGATTTCCATACATTCTCATATATCCTACGCGGATTCACATCGAATTTTCGTGTTTTGTCACAGGGTATTTGGAAAATATTAGAAATATTCAGATTTTCACATATTTCCACAATATTCGATATGTGGATTTTAAGTGAAAAAATTTATCCTGATACATTTATAGTATACAATACTACTAAATTCTTTTGGAAGAGTTTAAAAGTTCAAGAAAATGAATCAAAATACTAATGATTAGATCCATATACTCATTATACTGTATAATCCTCGTATTATCGTAGTAAGGCATGCTAAATGATTATTGTTCTTTTTACATATAAATTTTTAGTTTCGGTCATCTATTCATACATCCATTTAACTTATCTAACTTTCAATAATCAATTAAATGAATTTGAAGACTATAAATATTCAATTTTTTTCCTCTTCTCTCTTTTTTATCGCAAATAATTTACAAATGGATATAATGGTTCATCTTTAAAAAAAAATAATTGGGCAAATTTTTTGAAATGTGTAGATCTAGATAATTCCAGCTGTTATAAACTTACTGACATTATCGTAATTTCGGCCCTGAAAAACGTCCAAACTACCGTAATGCCCTGAATCTTGTACTCACTAACAATAATAAGTTTGTCCCGAAAGAATTAAAAGATTGCTGAAATGTGGTAAACCTAGGATCTCTTTTGGGCGGTGTAAGGATTGCGAAACTAATTTTATGAAAGAAAATTTTCCTTATTAGTCATAAAATAAAGAGATTGATGAATTGATCCAATATACTCAATTAAATGCCTCCCAAACTTGTGATTACTTGGAATGGATTCCATTCGATAAATTTGAAATGGTAAAATATATTGGCAATGGTATTCAGCTCTTAGTACCTCAATGAATTTGGGATGATGCCCCGGCTGGCAAATGGCCAGGTCATTTGGCCATTTTGAAATGACCCCCGAATGACTGGTCATTTGTAATTTGAGCAATTTAGAATTAATTCAGGCCAAATTTATGATGCCGGCCAGAATTACAAATTTATATTATCACGTGATATAATTTTATCCTCGAAACAAGATAATTTTAAATGACTAGTCATCTAGTCATTTGAGTCATTTGGATCACTGGAGTAGTCAGATGATGGTGCTCAAGAATGAAGCTGGTCCAATGAACGTTGCTTTGAAACTTCTTGATAATTCACAAAACATTTCAAGTTCTTACATTGACCAGGTTTGTGCTAATTATGGTTATAAATTGCTCACAATTTGGTTTGAAGTTTCATATATAATTTTTTTTAATATATTAAAGCATACCACAAATGTTTACAATCAGCTTCATTAGCTGAAATATTTGGGATCACGAGTCTAATTATATGATCGTTATGAAATATTATGAAAACGGCAATTTATACCAATGCCTAGTGGGATTCTTTTTTGGAGAGATATGATTGATATGTTATGGGGCATTGCTGGAAGTCTCGAAAGAATCCACTCTGAAGGAAAAGTACATAAAAATCTTCATGGAGGAAATTTACTTATTGAGGATAAGAAAATTTCTAGTATGTTATTATCATCATGAAAATAAGAAATCAGGTCAGATATGGAGTATTATCATACGTTGCACCGGAAGGTTTACATGGCGAAAATTATAGACTGCTTCTGGCATATATTCATTTAGTATTATTATATATTTACAACTGGAAAAAGATTTGAACTCATGATATTAGTTTAGCAAAGACATTGGTAATGGTAAAAGACTTGAAATCCCAGATGGTATACCAAAATTTTAGACCAGATAGAGAATAGACCTATTACGAAAATTGGATGGGATGATCCAAATCCTTCAGAAATTTCGAATGACATTTCTATTGCAGATAAAAAAGGATATAAAATGATTCCTCAATTATCTAAAAATTATATTCATCCAGGAATACATCCAGAAGTATATTATACAAGCAGACTTTTGTATTTTCCTGAATTATTAAAAAAAGTGATTAATTTGATTATTTATAATTTCTAATTAAAAATTTCAACTGCATAACTTATCATATATTTGATTTTTCTAACTGCATTGTTATTATTTTCTGCATGATTTTTTTTTCGTTTTATACTGTGATCATCATTTTATTCTTTTTACCAAATAAATTATTTTATTGCGCGAGATTAAGTGAGTTAATGCTTTTCTTGAATTTCAATAATCACGTACATAAACCTGCCAAACTGTCTTATTATTCCAAGATGTTAAATAAGTTTTAAAACGTATTACGCCAACATCTGATGCTATAGACATAAACTACCACTTTCGACGCCGAACCCGACTATATTAATTGTGAGATCAACAGTTACATAGTACGTTACTATATTTTTTTTGCACTTATGCCGGTCAAAGTCCTCATAATTCTGGTCAGAATCGCCATACATAATGCGGACAAGGGGTTAATAACAGCAAAATATGATAGTTTTTATGGAACCCGAGCTATGCATAAACAGGTTGTCAAACCTTTTTTGAATTTACAAAAATTCAACTCGGATTCAAGAACTGTCATCAGCGCCTAGCTAAAATAAAAAAATTTTTTATGAGACTTTTATCATAAATTTTCAATAAAATGTAGTATTATATAAACAAATCGTTAAGGCCCTTTGCTAATACAAAAAAAAAAATTATGTAAATATTTGATGTAAAAAAAAAGTTATCAAAAATTAAACTCAAATACTTCTATATAATTTATTTAAAACATAAAATTTGATTACATTCGTAAATTATAAGTAATTTCAGTTATTATATCATAGTACATAGTATATAATCTTTATTGATTGAGATACTAGGACATACAGCTTAAAATTCTTATTTCATTTAAATATTTTTTTTTTTTAGAAAAAAGTGTCTTTGATAAAGTATGTTGCATAAATTAATTTTATATCATAAATATATTAAAACTTAAATAGTTAGTACTGTATCTTTAGAACGATAGAATAAATAAAATAAAGATTCAAGATATAGTTTATCTTAATTAATTCTCACTTAAAATCTTAATTGATGAATTTAAATTATTAATAATCATTTTGAGTCTGGGCTCCATCTTGCATATTTTCGGCGCTCATATTTTCATTATCTGAGTATACTTGAATACTCACAGTGTCGAAAGTTGGTTGTTGAATGTTATTGTTGTAATTCTCAACAGATAACTGAACTTGTTGCTGAAGTTGTTGTTGGATTAATGTATTATAATGATTTAAAAACTGAATAATACAGTTATTATTTAAGAGTTGCGCGATTTCAAATGAATGTAATTCTGTGTACGTGACATGATAGATAAACATATCATATGGCGAAGGCAAATAAAATTCAAACGTATTTTGAGGTGCAGGAGACGCAATATTGATGTGCGTACCATCGTTAATTAAAATGTTGGGTTCATTATTATTGTTGTTTAAAGGGTTAGTACTATCTGATGAATATACTTGAGAGTTAGGTTGAAACCCGAAAGATTGTTGTTGGACATTTGGTTGATAAATTTGAGATTCAACGAATTGTCGAATTAAAAATTGTATATAATAATGATGTGGAAAATGATGACCAGGGATATGAGATAAATTAATGCCATTATTCAAGAGTTGAGCGATTTCAAATTTATTCAATGCGGTATTTGTAACGCGGTATATACGCGTATTATAAGACAAATAAAATTCAAATGTTTTATGAGTAGTGAAATCCATTTTTATTTAAAAGATAAGAATTATTTCAAATTTGAATTTTTGAGAAAAACAAAAGATGAGTCTTTATATAGTTATCTGACAGGATAACTGAAATTATTAAGAATGTTTGGTATGGTTTTTTATGCGTAGTACTTATTTATTGCATATTTGTTTTGAAAAAAAAAATTTGCATATTTGTTGTGGCGTATGTCTAAATTTGGGTGTGATTTGAAAAAAATTTTACCGATCTAGTTGAAAAAAATATGCGCACAAGATTCTTTAATTAGTTAGACAAATCAAATCAAATCATCACATATATCACATGGGCTAAGGTAACATTTACTTACTATGGCACATTGACTTCTTTCCGAAGTATTAGTTTAAATATAATAAATTGTCGGAATCATGCGATATTTTCCACAAAGTTGATTTTTTTTACATCAAATAATAAGATTATCGTAATAAGAGTAATCATTTTATCGTAATTCAAAATCAGAAAGATTTAAGATATCTCACATATTTTATTTAATTATTAAACAAACAATACAAATTAAACAATACAAATTTTAAACGTACAAATGGATGCGTTCTACGTTCTAGAAAGTAAAGAAATTATTTCTATACATATATATATGTGTATATATACTAATACGTATATGTGTGTATATACACTATATATATATATAAAAATTCAAAAAAAAAAATGGATATAAAAATTTTACAAGAGAGAGAATTAAAAATTTTTACAGCAGCACGTTTCCTTTTATCTATTTTTTTTTTTAAAAAAACTGTATTCAAAGTAAAGTAATTTTTTGCTAATCTTTCATTCTTAATATCATATAATATCATGTTTCTTTTTTTTCATTTTTTTTTCATTTTTTTTCATGTTTTTTCTGGTTCTAAGATATGAAAGAATTTGTGCAACATGCTACCACATTATCCTTAATCGGAAACCATCACCTCCGATACGGGGCTTATCTTTCAAAATTTTCAATGATAAAAATGCATTACTAAAAAAGGCAACAAGATAGAAGAGTTGAAAGAAAGGAAACCGTAAATATTTTGATGCTTACGAAATTTGACATTCTTATCTAATCCGATTATCTTCGTAAGCGTTATTTAAATTAACCAATCCCAATCAAATATTTTTTTTTTAGAAAAATTGTAACTGAAAATTCCGTCGGAAAATATTGGGTTCATTGAAAAAAAAAATCGATAGGTTCCTTTATTGATAAATGTGTATCTTGCCCGTATGATGGTTAAATCCAACAAAAATTTGTAAAAAAGAAATTCTTAATATACAAACTTTTTCAAAAGATATACAGTATGTGTATTTTTGCCTGCTCTGCAAGCTTACTTAAAGCATCAAAGATCGTTATGTCATTGTTGTTTATTTATTTGACAACTTTTTTTTTCGATTTTTCGTTAAATCACGTGATGTATTTAAGTCTAGCCAGAATTAACTGATCGGCATAAAAAATTGCCTTTTTTGGAATAAAAGCGAGATCTAAAGCATCACACATGGGGGGCTGGATATAAATTTACCCCTATTATTGGTTAATAAGAACCTAAAACCACGGAATTTTTTTTCTAATTGGTATTAAAAAAAAATTAAACCATCCCTTCAGATAAAAGAATAGTAATTTGCCACACGATGTTTAAATTTAATGTTTAGACTTTTAAAGTGTAATTACATACCAAAGATTGAATCCTACAAATGCAAATTATTATCATTCTAATCCTCTTAATGAATAAATCTAAAATCATGAAAATCCAATCACTGGATGATTTTTAAATTTAAATTATATGAACTTACAAAGCTTCAAAGATTGCATAATAATTACATTTGCATAGAACCTATAATTATAAAAAATATTATTCTATAAAAACTTATGCAATATTATACCTACTATAACATTAAATTTTATGATAAGAGTACTTGGGAAGAACATTGAAATCATATGGAAAAATATTTTTCTAGGATATTATAAAAAATCAATTACTAGCATATCTCAGAATTGATGCAGCCATTATTGCAAATAGAGATTATATTTAGCTTAAATTTTTATCTTTAATATATAATATATATGTAAATTTTTTGCATTGAAACTTGGCCAGATCATTAGACCACCATCTGTACTTATATTACACACAATACACAACAATAAACACTACTTTTTTTTATTTTTATATAGATGTTTTTTTTTTTTCGAGAATCATATCTAAAATTTTAGATAGGAATTATGTATAAAAAAAAATTTTTTATATGGGGTGTTTTTTTAAACTTTTACTCAAAAAATTGCATCAAAACAGATTAAGATAAGATAAGAGAGGATCTAGATAATTAATTGCGCGAATTAATTTAGGAATTTAATTGATTAATCGTCGATCCGTCTAAAATCGGCACTGCATTACTAATAAAATTCGGGGTTAAATTTGCCGATTTTGTGCCACTAACTTCAAAAAAGGATATTTCATAGACGACATAAATAAAAGTCACATGATATACTGATTTGCAAATTATAAAAATAAAGAGTTTACGTCAGATTTACACCCTAAAATATAGGAAATTTCAAAATTTTACTTTGCTATATTATTATTTATATTAAAACCATACAATTTTTAGCTTTCAAAGTTGTTTTTAAAGACTTTTTGAAATATTATTTATTATTAAAACTGGGTGAAAGTTGAAGAAAACCAGTAACAGAAATATAATTATGACCAGTCATATTTGCTTGTTTGTGGTACTTCTTTTTGTGAAATGGGTAGAAATTTATTCCTAGACGAAATCGGCAATTAAATTATTATTATTATTATTATTGTACAACTGAAAGGACTAAACTAAAATGCATGTAAACTGGAATCTTAAAAACTTTAAAAGATAACGTATCATAATGGTTAAATTATTTGTAAGACCATCAATCCTGTCGCCCGAAAATTATTAGAGCCAATTTTGTACGATATCAATTTTGGACCACACAAATGTTTAGCGGTTCTGTGCTAACGCTTTAGTAGGAGGATAGGAAAATATGGGAGCAGGAGTAACTTATGTTTTAATGCCTTTATTATTTAATGCAATTCGAAGTTTTGGACTAAGTGGCCATGCATCTTGGAGGGTTGCTATGGTTGTTCAGCAGCAGGAATTTGTTTCGTTATGGAATTGACATGTTTATTATTTTCCGATGATTGTCCTCAAGGAGATTGGTCTAAACGTAATCAACAAATTGAAGAAATACATGGTACAGATAATGAAGTACATGATGCAAACAAAGCTAACAAAACCATTAAAGATGATGATCATAATAGCATAATTTCCGAAAGAGTCCAAAGGTTCATAGTAATCCATCAAGACCAACCATTGGAATGTTTTTCAAAGCACTTAAAAATCCGAATGTCGGTTATAATTTTAATGTTTATGTACGCTTCAATTGTTCTTTTGGAATTGAACTTGCTGTAGATAATGTTATTGGATATTTCTTTCATGACTTTTCACTTTCGCAAACGAAAGCTGGTATGATAGGAGCTTTATTTGGTTTAATGAATATCTTCTCGCGGTTTCTTGTCAGATTACGCTTACCAAAAACGTGGTATTAGAGGCCGTTCATTTTATATTAATCTTCTTAAATGGAGTATTTTTGGTTGCTTTCCGATTTTCCTTAACTAATTTAAAAGATGGCATTATTATTTTAACAATCTTCATTTATTTCACTCAGGTAAATTAAAATTCGATAAAAAGATTTTTTTTTTCGATGATTCAAATTTTAATCTAATTATTAAATTTTCATGGATTTTAGCTTGCTGCGGTTCAGTTTTTAGTATTGTTTCCGGAAATTGTTGGTGCAATATCAGGATTAGTCGGCGCCGGTGGAAATATCGGTGGATTAATATTTATTGGTGTATTTAAAATTTATGCCAATAATACTCCAATCGCATTCATGGTTTGTGGATTTGTAGTCATGACAGTTGCATTTACTGTATGACATTTTTAATGAGATTCAAATAAATAACGACAAAAAAGAGTGAATAAGCAATATGAGAAAAAAAATGAGACAAAATAGATTTTATTTCAATAAAGAATTATTACATACTTGTATGCGAAGATAATTACATTTGTGATACGTTAATTGCCAATCCTTCTAAAATCGGCACTTTTTTCGGGGAAATTTAAGCAAAAATCGCACAATTGTCAGAAAACTACATAATACTAGATATGGGAACAACTCGTTATATATAATAAAAATCATATGATATAGGTAAAAAAACCCAAGGAAAAATAATATGCTAAAATAATTATACCTATATTAAACTTTACATTTCACGCGCGTCAGATTCCACTTTTACATACGAATTTTGATAACTTTTTATTGTATTATTATATTTAAATATCAACAAATGGCTCAACTAACGCCAAATTACTAAAAAAAAATATTTATTAATTATTTAATTGTCAATTCGTTTAAGATTGGCACAATTTTTACTTTTTTAGCATTATATGTTCAGGGCGAAATTTAACGAAAATTGCATAGTTGGCAATAAATTCACAAATACTAAAACTGCGATAACTAATAAAAAATCATATGCTATATGTAAAAAACCCAAGGAAAAATAATATATCAAAATAATTGTAACTTTACTATGAAAAAATGACTTTACATTGTACGCGCGTCAGATTTCATTCGCTATATGTATTTTATATATACGATGCCAGACGGATCGGCAATTAAAAAATCAAAAGTAAAACAGGCACATGATTTAATATCCCGATCAAATAATTAAACATAATTATTATTCTTTTATTTTATCATTATAAGATATTAACAATTTAAATAGGAAATATATATATATATATATATTTTAATTTAATATGAAAATATGAAACAAGTATTAAAGATAAGATAATCAAAGGATCTTTTTACTTTTGTTAAACAATATTTATGGATCGGACATATTTGTTTCTCCTTTCGACATAAATTACAGATAAAGATAGTGATAAGATAAAAAAAAATTTTTTTTAAGCAATTTTCTTTATTTATTCTTTCGTATCTTTCCTTTTTAAGAATATTTATTCGGGCATTCATTGAGTTTGTTTGGTTGCACAATATTCTTTACACATGCTAATAAGGGGATATTGCATAATGTGATATAAAATTTCTCTTCCTAAGCCTGGGTTTACGTACGTTGACGTAGCTCCACAAAATTTTAATATTGTGGTGGCTGACAACAATAGTCCGAAATTTGAAATTTTATTTATTTATATTGTGTAACTTATTTTTTAAAGTACTTTGTTAAAATATAATAATTGCCGCGTTTGCGGCAAAAATTTTTTAAAAGTCCGAAATTTTTATTGCTACTTATTAATATTTATCGGTTTAGTTTTTTCTTTTTATTATTCAATTTACAATTTATAAAAATTTGAAGTCACATAATATTAGTGTGGTTTATAGGTAACAGCCACATATGACCTCCGAAAAATTCCGCGAATCGAATTTCAAGTTGTAACTATATATTATCAAAGCGTGTAAAAGATAACGATAAACTCGTGATTCTGCATGTTCTCTATAATCATTCTTTTATAAGATAAACCAAAATTGGATATTTAAAAGATTATTGAATCTTTCGCTTTTAGAATTTTTTTTTTTGATTTTCGATTTCATTGTTTGTTTACTTTGATGGATCGATTGATTTACAATGTGATAAACCTAAAAAGGTTTCATTTCTTTGGCGGAAAATCCGGTATCTTATTATCATTTAATCGATCTCTTAAATCGAAACTTAATCTCCTTAACGTTGCAAAAACGCTCCCTATAAAAACACATTGTCCATAAATTATACATAATATAGCATAATTTGACCATAATTATAATATCTGGTATGTTCATCATTTGTTCATAAATTAAAAGGAATTATAAAATTGTCTTTCTAAGATCCATAAAATATTCGTAAATTGAAAGGAATTATAAAATTATATTTTCTAAGATTTATAAAATGTACATTATTATTATAAACAAGAACTGGATATTTATTTATGTGATAGGTGAGGGGTCAATAAAATGTAAATAAAAAATATTATAATGAACCTATATAGAGAATTAATAAATGCAAGATTTATTATCAGAAATTTTTGATGGATTTTATACTATAAAAAATATATTACCTGAGTTTAATAGAAAAGTCTTTTAATGAAATACTTTTTTAGTTACTTAATGACGCTATTTGACATAAGAATAATGAGATGAAAAATTAAATTGTTAAATTAATATAGATAGATAGTAGTACTCATAAATTATTCGTAGAAATTACTAAATCAAAATTTATAGGCATGTTTAGAGGTATGACGATGACCGAAAAATAGCTCGTAGCTCCTGTTACAGATTAAAAATTTATTATTTTTAAAAACAAATAAATAAAAAATTTATGAGAAATCTGATAGGTTGGATCAGTGATGAATTGTTTCTAGGAAAATATATTTAAATCACTGAAACTTTCTTTGATGAATGTAATTTTTAAAAAACCGATTAACCTTATGCACTAAGAGAAAAAATAAAAAAAAATAGAAAATAAAAAAATCAATACTTCAATAAGTTGCAACTCGTTATTTGCAAAATATGTCAAACAAAATAACGCCTTCATATGCTCAGAAGTTTTTTTTAATAGTAACAGCAGGAGAGTTAGGAAAAAATCTCCTAAACCTTGTCCTGACTGTAAAGAAACAAGTGATAACGTTAATATTTCTTCTAGTAAAGTAGAAATAATCCATCTTCTATATATTCTAAATCTTCTATCCCTTCTGCCCCTTCTACATCTTCTAGCGACTGGAATCTCTCGGAATTCTATTATTTTTTCTTCACATCGAAAACTTTCATATTTATTATGATTGTATTTTACTCTTTTGGCGCAGCCGCAGCGACTGTCCTCATTAGAATGACGCAACGCTCATGAAAAATTATAAATAAGATGAAGTTTGAAGACGATACCTTTGGAATTTTAAATCTCTTGATTAAAATACGATCAATATGGAATCTGAACATATATATCTATCGAAAAAAAAACACGTTATAAATCTAAACCTATAAGAGACTCGTTTTTTCCAGAATCACAAGCTTATCAATTTTCTTTACATGTTAGAAACCAAAACCTTATAAATCAACGTTAAAGGCGCATTAGGTAGAGTAGGACATTTAATATTTTAGGAAAATATTTTTTAGCTTTTTCACAAACATAAGATTTTATTATAAGATATAGTTTTTTTTAAGATTTATATGCTTTATAAAATGAAATAAACCTCCTTTCAAATTATCTTCCAAGCTAATTACAGATTTGTTACAAATACCCACATGAGTTTACCCTAATGAGTAAATGAGTAATGACATTTGCAGATCACATGATCGTTTTGCCAAGAAAAATCTTAATTAGCAGATCTCGAGCTATACGTATGAACCATACTAATTTTCTCTAGCCTATTCTTACATAATTCTGGATTTCTGGTCATTAATTCACTTTTTTTTTAATGATCCGCATAATATTACCCATTCATGCTCCATTATACATTTATTCTCTCCTATTTCGAAAAATCAAAAGCGCAATGTTGTTACCAAATTTATTTCGTAACTAAATGGTTTTCTTTGTTTTAAACCATCGACTTTGTTAACTTCAAAGTTGCACATCATTTTATTCTTTTTATCAAATAAATTATTTTATTGCGCGAGATTAAGTGAGTTAATAAACTTGCCAAAAGTATATATTATTCCAAGATGTTAAATAAGTTTTAAAACGTATTACGCCAACATCTGATGTTATAGACATAAACTACCACTTTCGACGCCGAACCCGACTATATTAATTGTGAGGATCAATTACATAGTACGTTACTATATTTTTTTTTGCACTTATGCCGGTCAAAGTCCGCATAATTCAGGCCAGAATCGCCATAATGTGGGAGTTTCTTAATAACAGCAAAATACGATAGTTTTTATAAAACCCGAGCTATACATAAACAGGTTGTCAAACCTTTTTTGAATTTAGGATTCAAGAACTGTCATCAGCGCCTAGCTAAAATGAAAAAAAATTTCTATGCGACTTTATCAATAAAATGTAGTATTATATAATCAAACCGTTAAGGCCCTATGCTAATACAAAAAAAAAAAAATTATGTAAATATTTGATGTAAAAAAAAAGTTATCAAAAATTAAATTCAAATACTTCTATATAATTTATTTAAAACATAAAATTTGATTACATTCGTAAATTATAAGTAATTTCAGTTATTATATCATAGTACATACAGTATATAATCTTTATTGATTGAGATACTAGGACATACAGCTTAAAATTCTTATTTCATTAAATAATTTTTCTTTTTTTTTAGAAAAAAGTATCTTTGATAAAGTCTTATGTGGCATAAATTAATTTTATATCATAAATATATTAAAACTTAAATAGTTAGCACATTATCTTTAGAACGATAGAATATAATAAAATAAAGATTCAAGATATAGTTTAGCTTAATTAATTTTGAGTCTGGGCTCCATCTTGTAAATTTTCGGCGCTCATATTTTCATTATCTACTTGAATACTCACAGTGTCGAAAGTTGGTTGTTGAATGTTATTGTTATAATTCTCAACAGATAACTGAACTTGTTGCTGAAGTTGTTGTTGAATTAATGAATTATAATGATTTAAAAACTGAATAATACAATCATTATTTAAGAGTTGCGCGATTTCAAATGAATGTAATTCTGTGTATGTGACATGATAGATAAGCATACCATATGGCGAAGGTAAATAAAATTCAAATGTATTTTGAGGTGCAGGAGACGCAATATTGATGTGTGTACCATCGTTAATTAAAATATTGGGATCATTATTATTGTTTAAAGGGTTAATATCTGATGAGTATACTTGAGAGTTAGATTGAAACCTGAAAAATTGTTGTTGGATGCCATTTGGTTGATAAATTTGAGATTCAACAAATTGTCGAATTAAAAATTGTATATTGTAATGATGTGGAAAATGATGACCAGGGATATGAGATAAATTAATGCCATTATTCAAGAGTTGAGCGATTTCAAATAAATTCAATGCGGTATATGTAACGCAGTATATACGTGTATCATTTGGTAAAGGCAAATAAAATTTGAATGTTTTATGAGTAGTGGAATCCATTTTTATTTAAAAGATGTGAATTATTTCAAATTTGAATTTTTGAGAAAGGCAAATGACGAGTCTTATATAGTTATCTGATAGGCATAAATTATTAGAACTGGCGACTGCATATGCGTATTTTTTATTTATACGTACTTTTATTGCATATTTGTTTAAAGAGTTTATTTTGTTTATTTGATTTCGATAATAAACACATATAAGGAATGATCTTCAGCACATTCCGTTAAATTACGTAATTTCAAATCTTTGGGCGTATATTTTTCTTTTATAATAAATTTTTCCTTTGTAAAAAAGAAAAAAAAAATGATATATATATCTTGAAAAAAAATAAATCTAAATTTGGATATGATTTTCTTGAAAAAAAGTAAATTCTCTTAGATTGAAAAAAAACTTTCTTTTACAAAAATAACTTGGAGTGTTTATTTGTTGTGTATTGTGTGTATAATATAAGTAGAATATTAAAGACCCTGTGATCAACATATTATTAGACAACTTAGAAATTGACAAATTAGAATCGGTCCATTTCAATATAAAATTGTGTACAACATCAACAAAATAGAATGTGGGGATAACGTAACTTTTAAACGTGATTCAATTATTTAATAAGTATGCAACATGAGGATTTCATTCTATTTGTTGATGTAGTACAGTACACAAATTTTTTCATTTTCATATACGTCTCTAAAAAATGTTTACCATTTATAAGCCAAAAAACGAATGATTAACTCCACGTAATAAATTCTGTAATTATTAACTATTTTAGAGCAACAGTAGATTTCGGGTTTCGCCGTTATTTACTTCATCTTCCATCTTCAGTAATTACCGAATTTTGCCTTTGTAATGGCAAAATTTTGTTTTTGCATCGGTTAACATTCTCCATTTTAATGGGAATGAAAGAGAAAATGAGCAAATCCATCATCAAAATTTCGGAAGGACCCAGAAATATATATATAGGGGGTCAGGTGATGAAAAAAATTTTTTACTATGAGCAGCTGTACGCATTTTTTCAGGGCCGGAATTATGATAATGTCAGTCGGTTACTATAATAGGAAATAAAATTCTGACTGGAATTATTAAAAATTATCTAAAAAAGGAAAGATTTTCATGATTTTTTTAGTTCAAAATACGCAAACTCAAACCTGACCCCTTTATATATATTTCTGGGTCCTATTTCGGACATAGAAAGATTACATCCATTTTTTGAATTAATTCTAGACATGTTTCATGCATCCATACTATCATTTGGAATTGCTATTTAAAGACCGATCCAATTAAAAATTAAGAAGCAATTCACTTATAACTTATTTAAATGAAGCAAATCAAATAAATAATGATAAGTAAGTATGTAAATAAAATAATAATCGAATATATAAATAGTTAATTAATTAATAAATGGCAACTTATAATAAATCTTTTTTTATCTGCATGTATACGTAACAATAGATCTTCAGGAGTACATTTGATTCATCTAACATATTAATCCATCTTTTATAGATCGAAGAATTATACCGAAAAATCCGAAAAAATATTTTTTTTAAAAAAAAATAAATTTATTTTAGAAATAATTCAATGCAAATGAACATTTTTCTTTTAAAAAAAAAAAATCACAAAATCACAATAAAAGCCAGTTACCTTAAAAGTGCTAACAAGAAATAGGTGTGACAACGGTTCTAACTATTGATTTTCTTCTTTTTGGTAACTCATTCATAAAATACAAATATTCTTATTTAAAAGATTTCTTATAAATTTTTTCATTAAAGAACACGAAAAAATTTCCTTTTGTCGGAAGAAGAAAACGATGCTGGAAATGATGAGGTAAAACTTTTTGTTAAAAATTTCTGATCGATGGTATCACAATATGACTCACCAAACTAAAATCATAAATATTAGAACAATTTACATTTGGCAGTTCTCACGTAACATAAAAACTTTTCATGCATAAATATTTCATAGTTCTTATCTAAAACAATTTTTGCACAAAAAATATTGTTTGATCCTAAAAATATAATTAATATAGCGTTGTTATTGATTAAAAGTTACTGGATCGCTAGCGAATGGAATCATCGACACAATTTGTTTAATACTAATTGTTGTAACAGAAATAATCTAATAAAAATAACAAATAAAAAAAGATATACTTTATATTAATGACGTAAATATCTATTTTGATTCAATAAAATTAAAATATCAATCTGTTCTTTATTAATAATTAATGACTATCTCAACTTTTGTTATCACGTCATCATCTTTAATAGGCTTTGAAAAATCCCTTATGACGTGCAAATCTGTTGTACGACTTATTAAGAACAAAAAGCGTGAAATCGATTTCGATCACGTAAGGACGTATACAAAGAAATGTAATGTAACACAGGATCAGGACACACTAACGACCAAATCAAGTGATATTTCAAGCTATGCAGGCGTTGTATCTTGTAATACTGATTTTTTTATTACTATTATATTAGGCGATAGTTATTCGTATTTCGTACCCCCTGGCCAACATTATGCACTGACACGTGATATCGCTTGGCCAAATTTTCCTTAATTCTGGCCGTGAGGGTATGAATAGCAAAATTGGGGGTATAAAAAAATCTCTGAAGTAATACCAATATAAACATAATTTACTATTTTCATCCATTTTACTTTTAACATCTTTCAAAACATATGATCGAAATCAATTTAAAAATATCTTTTGTATTACATCAGAATACATGAAAAATTCCTACATTGAAAAATATTTATCGTTCCCATCGATATTCAATAATTTATCAAGAAAAAACCTATGAATATTCATAATTTTTCACTAAATAATTTTGGCAATAATGTCTACGAACCTAATTTGCAGACAACTGCGTACGATGCATATATGCCTGTTACGGACGTTAATAACGTAATTTCTGACATGTCAAACAATAATATCACTATCTCTCAGCAACCCAATCTTTCTTTACCTAAACATAATCAGCAATATCAGCAATCTAATGTCTCTTCACCTAATGCTTAACTATCGACAATATATTCAGCAACCCACACAATGTTACCACCATTATTCCTAGCCATGGTTGCTATCATAATTATCAACAACCCTAATTATCAACAACCCGTGTCTAACATCGTTTCAAACAAAAAACGTTGTTATTTTTCCTGATAATAATCATCACGATTAATAATATTAATCACTATAACAATCAATCAGCAATCCACGTCTAATAGTGTATCACCTCCGCAATTCTTTTCACCTCTGTTGTTTAACATTACCATTAATTTCCCTCAGACAAATTTTGTCGTTATGCCTACTAGTGCAGATATTCAGCAAGTTCTTGCTTGTTTAATCGTTCTTCTTCGGTTACTAACTAGAAAGCTCAATTTCCACAATAAATTTTTTGACGGCCACCCTTTAAGAGACATTAAAAGGCACATTTTTGAGTAGTAATTTTACATAATTTTTTTTGTCTCCATATTAATAATATTATTTCTTATTTTATTTCCTTATTTCTTTATATTCTAACCAATGAATATGATCATGTACTGATAAATGATAATTGTGAACTAATCGAATAAAAAAAAGATACTTTCTTAATTGCAGATCCGCCTAAAATCGGCACTGCGTTACTAATAAAATTCGGGGTTAAATTTGCCGATTTTGTGCTAGAACACAAACTTCAAAAAAGGATATCTCATAGATGACATATTGACTATAAAAAAAAATCATAAGATATACTGAAAAAATACTTGAAAAAAACGAATTTGCAAAAAAAAGTTATACATTCGTATGCAAAATAATGAGTTTACTATGCGNTAGATGACATATTGACTATAAAAAAAAATCATATGATATACTGAAAAAATACTTGAAAAAAACGAATTTGCAAAAAAAAGTTATACATTCATATGCAAAATAATGAGTTTACTATGCGCGCGCGTCAGATTTATACCTTAAAATATATTATTATATTGCATTATTTACATTAAAAACCTATAATTTTTAGCTTCTAAAGTTGTTTTTAAAAGCTTTTTTGAAACATTTTTATTATTAAAAACAAGTGAAAGTTGAAGAAAAACAGTTACAGAAATATAATTATAAAATTTTTTGGCAAATATGACTTGTCATAAAATGAAAGAAAATATTGTATTTATGATATTTCTGTTTGTAAAATGGATGAAACTTATTTCGCGCGCGAGATGCAAAAAATGCTTTTTTTTATTATCGCTATTATCCCCGAATTTTATTAGTAACGCAGTGCCGATTTTAGGCGGATCGGCAATTAATAATATACGTTTAACATGTGGTTTACATGAAAGATACATTAAAAAAATACAAAAAAAAATTTTATTAGGGCTAGTAAGATGTTTAAAAAATGAATTCAATAATCATTATTTTTAATATAATGAAGTAATGTATATTTTGCGTATATATGATAAAAAAATTTTCAAGATGAATTCGTACAGCTCTAGCGGCAAGATGGGATGGTCCAGGACTTGGATAAAGATATTGTTGATGTCCAGGACAAATTTTCATTATAAGAGGATATCTTACTGCCTCGGACAATAAATTGGAACAATATCTTGGACGGGACTGGACTTGTAATAAAGGTTTACGGTACATTTCGCCCAAAGCCATTTCGCCGAAAGGACGTTTCGCCGAAAAATAGGGCCAACATTATGCAGAATTATAAATAATTCAGGCCAGAGATTATTTTTCGGTGAAATGGCTTTCGGCGAAATGTCCCGATACCTGTGGTGTGATACAACTATTATCCCCTGATCGACATGGTACGTACGTAAGTAGAACACACATTAGAATAAAGTGTTACCAATAACACTGTAAATAAAGGTTAGAGTAATTATATATGATTAATCATTGACCCTTCTTTTCTGATTCATTTAATGAGATTATATTTTAAATTTTTAATGACATTCCGATAGAATTCAGTTTCATTTTATTCCAATTAAATTTTCTGTAACGTGACATATTTTTAATTGTGTAATATTTTCACAAGTTCTCCTTATTTTGTCTTGAAATGAACGCGTGCTGTATATTCTATTTTATTAAATGAAATACTTTCACGAAAACTTGGAACAAGAACATGTGTAAAGGTGAAATATTTGGTTTTTAGAATGCTACGTTTTTAATTTTGTTGTTTTCATTAGGATTATTCAGAAAATGTTTATTTTATTAAATAATATCTGATATTATAAATTTATTTAACAATAAATCTTGTAAAAATAAAAAAATACGTTTCATCGCATTAAAGCGCTGTAAGATAAATGCCTTTTCTCTTTATTTTTTTTTTTGAAAAACATCGCGGAAAATTTTCCAAGGTAAATGAGTGGTAAATGTCGTACAAAATAAATTTAGCCAATAAATTTCTCTCTTCCGTTTGTTATATTAATGACGATATAAATATTGCTTTTATTAATTAGTCTTAAGTTAGGAATAAATTTCAATGTTTAAAAAATTAACAGAGTGACCAATGTTGAAATACATAACACACAATTTAGTAAATCGAAACGAAATACAAAGCGTTATAAATTAAAAAGTAAGCTCAACTGTTGTTTTGTAATTTATGGTACAACTTCCAGGTAGGTTCCTAATTTATTTTTATATCGTTTGATTGCGATATTGACAATCGGAAAACACATAGTAAATTTGTAAGAAATACTAATTTACCCACTACTTTTTACTATAGCAACAAGATTTTCGAAATTATAAATAAAAAAAGTGGTTTATCATTTACATACTCACGTTTTGCAGGATGACGATTTAGGATGTTTGCAATTTGTCGCAATGTCACATCCTAATATGCATATCGTTTATTTTGAACAGAATTTTTTTTTTTTTGCGGAAAAAAAAAAATGCTATTTGCCACTACTGCATTTTGCTGTGGGGTGCATAGAAAAATAAAAATATAAAAATAAAAATAATAATCAATTTTTCAATTATTACGAAAATAAGAAAATTACTAAATTTATTATTGGTTGAAAATAAGAAAATAGGAGTTATAAATAAAAAAACTTTTATTAGCCGTGGTCTTTAAAATTAGACGCAAACTAAACCCGATACCCAACCAACTTATTCAACTGATCCTATTTCATTTTTTAAATAAGATCGATTCAGTTAAGAAATGCTTTTAACTTCATGTAACTTACGATAAAAATAGATTTTTTTTTATATTTCAATGAAATCCCCACTCATGATCATCATAAAGGTTTATTGGAACAGAAAGAGAAAATTTTCCTCTTAACCGTTTAAGCATAAAGTATAAAAGTAAATGTAAAATTTCTATGCTTTGAAAGACTAGATTACAAATGACCATTTCTAATAAAATAAACTATAGTTAAACATAGATAAGATATCGAATGACTCATGATGTATGGCATGTAACACAAACACGTGTTATACAATCTTATATTTCCAAAAAAAAATGTGATTTTTTTTTTAATTTTGAACCTTAATGAAAGATAACAATTTATTTTTTACCATTTTTGTGAGAAGCGATTTATAAAACGGTTTTTAATTAAATGCAAGATAATAAATAAATAAATAAATAGAACAAAAAGCATTATTATTACCGTTGTGTGACCACAGCATAGCAGATAGTCATGCTATATTTACTATCATATGATAGTAAGAATAAATCTGGAGTGTTTGTTTTATCTTTAATCAGTTTCCCTATTAGGCTTTTTTTTCGATCGTTAGCTTTCCAGACTTCCGGACAAGACGTTGATAACACAAAAGGATGAAAATGGGTTGTAAAATTTTATCAAATAACTGATAATCAAGTTATTTTGATTATTGAATTTTTTCTAACTTCATGTTTGTCAACATTAAGTTCAGGTGGCGAGTAATCATAATAATTTATTACCAATTTCATTTTGGATCATGGTCCTTACAATACAAAAACTTTAATGTATAATTTGAAAGGATCGCTCTTTCATTGATGATCTTGATGATCTACGCCTACTTTGTCCTAAAATGGACTATTTTAAAGCACATGGGGCAATGATAATGACGTGTTACAAAAGTTGAATGAATTTAGGTTAAAATTACTTTAGTAAATTCCATAAAAAGAATAATTGTTAAAACTAGACAATAATTATTAATGACAAAGAACGGATAAATATCTTACCTGCTGATATGTTTCAAAATTAGATATTTACGTTATTAAATATATAAATAAGGGGAAAAGAACAAAAAAAGAAATGCTTCTAAAATTAGAAGTATTGTTTTCTTTATTTATTGTTATTTTTATTACAATAAATCAATATTAAGCAAATTAAGCAATGACAATGTTTATTTTTGATTATATTTTCAGGATCAAAAAATACTGTGTAAAAAATTGATTTTAGATAATATTTTCATTATTTCTATTATTTGATTAAAAGAACTAAAAATAAAATCCAGTATGCTTTGAAAGTTTATTTGTATGTTACGACGATCTAACCAAGATTAATTGTAGTTTTTACCAAAATCGTATCACTAGTGAACTGCGGATCCTAATTTACGTCTCTTTTATGATTGAGACCTAGGATTAAATTTCTTTATCTAATTTCATTATGGGATGGTCAGCTCTGTACTAATTAAATGGCTTTTTCCACCGACTTTGTTAACTTCAACAAACTGAATTAGCTCATTTTCTTTTCATTTGCAAAAAAAAAAAATTGATTTTGCTAAATTGATCATCAAAGTACAATATACAATGTTAGTTTAATGGCTTCTTTTAAAGATAAATAAATATATTTTGAAAGTAATAATTAATTAAATGATACGAAAAAGTTATAAATACGATTCTTTTCTTTTCACCTTTTTACCGTCACCAATTCTGATCTTTTCGGTTTTTGAGGTGTCGTATAATAATAAAGTAATTCATTTTTTTTTTTTCGCGCAAAATATACTTATGCATTTATATTAAGGTAATAACGATTCTTATAATCTTAATGTTTTTAAATTACGATATCAAGAACTGTAATTATATTGATTAAATAAATCATCATGTAGTAGTATTATATATTACTTTCCATTTTTAAAATGGAGGAAGATTTATTTTATCAACAAGAAAATAAGTTTGTCCCAAGAGAACTTAAAGATTGTCCAGAATGCGGAAAGCCCAGAATTTCATTTGGATGGTGTAAGGATTGTGAAACTAATTCTATGAAAGAAAATTTTCCTTATTGGACTTCGGAAAATAAAGAGATTGATGAGTTGATTCATCATACTCAATTAAATGCCTCCCAAACTTGTGATTACTTGGAATGGATCCCATTTGATAAATTTGAAATGGTAAAATATATTGGCAGTGGTGGATTTGGTAGTACCTATTCAGCTCTTTGGATGGAAGGGCCTCGATGGATTTGGGATGATGGTGCTCAAGAATGGACTAGAGCCGGTCCAATGAACGTTGCCTTGAAACTTCTTGATAATTCACAAAACATTTCAAGTTCTTATATTGGCCAGGTTTGTGTTAATTATGGTACAATTGTTTGCGTTCTAATTTAAATTTCATATATCTTTTTTAATAGATTAAAGCGTATCACAAATGTTTGCAATCGGCTTCATTAGCCGAAACATTCGGGATTACAAAAGCACCTACATCTAATTATATGATTGTCATGAAATATTACGAAAACGGTAATTTATACCAATGCCTTGATCGTTCTAGTGGAATTCTTTTCTGGCGTGATATGATTGATATGTTATGGGGCATTGCTGGAGGTCTTGAAAGAATCCATACTGAAGGAAAAGTACATAAAAATCTTCATGGAGGAAATTTACTTATTGAAGATAAGAAAATTTCTACAGACGCTCGTATTGGTGACGTGGGTCTTTATGGACCATGTTATTATCATGAAAATAAAAAATCAGGTCAGATATATGGAGTTCTACCATATATTGCGCCTGAAGTTTTACGTGGTGAAGATTATAGTACTGCTTCTGATATATATTCATTTGGTATTATTATGAATATACTTACAACTGGAAAAAGACCTTGGCATAATAGAGCTCATGATATCAATTTAGCAAAAGATATTTGTGATGGTAAAAGACTTGAAATTCCGGATGATACACCAAAATTTTATGCAGATTTAATGCAACAATGTTGGGATAATGAACCAGAGAACAGACCGACTGCATTTTATTTAAACGAAAAATTGGGAGAATGGATTATCTTAATTTGTGACGACCCAAATCCTTCAGAAATTTCGAACGATATTTCTATTGCAGATGAAAAAAGACATAAAATAATTTCTCAATTATCTAAGAATTATATTCAGCCAGAAATACATCCAGAAGCATATTATATAAGCAGACTTTTGTATTTTCCTGAATTATTAAACCGACATGACTAATTATAATTGTTAATTAAAATAATTTTTAGCTAATGATTATATATAACTTGCCATATATTTAATTTTTAACTGTATAAAGCAAGAATATTTATTATTTTGTTATTATTTTTCCGCATATTTTTTTCATCCTATACTGTAATCATCATTTTATTCTTTTATCAAATAAACCATTTTATTGCGCAAAAAAATGGGTTTTGCTTTTCTTGAATTTCAAAAGTCATTTACATGCATGATCTGTCTTATTCCAAGAATGAATGTCAGACCACATTATTTCGCTATTTTAAACGCAAGACGCTAATATCTGATGATATAGATAGTATAGACTACCACTTTTCGACGCGTCTCGATAGGATTAATCCAATGAACTAAGTTTTACCTTTATAAAAATTACTGATAGTGAAATTTGTTGTTCTTGTATATAATTATGTAGTATCCACTGTGCGAGACGGCTGATTTACCCCTTTTTTGAACGTCCTATAGAACCCGTAATAAAATAAATAAGAATTAAAATTACGATAATAAAAAATTTTTTTTAAAATTTTTTAATGATATTAACAAAATATATAGGAAATATATTATTTTCTTTTTTTTTCTAACTTAAACAAGAGTTATTTTTGTCATTTCACCGAATAACCTTTCTAATATTTAGATTACCATTTCCAAAAAAGAATATCCTTCCCCAAAAAACCAATTCCCAAACCAATTCCCGACAGGTTTTAACTTTGCGAAATCAAGTTTTGAAAGCATGTGAAGACTTTGGCAATTGGCTTAAATGCGAAATAAAAATAAACGTCATCATGCATTACTCCAAAATTATCACTATTATCACTATTTTGTTAATTGGTATGTCGATCAAAATTCATATTTATCACCTAACTTATTAGTGATGTGAGACAATTCGGCCCTAAGTAACGATCGGTCATGTAATTTTTTTTGGCATTTTTATCACTAAGGCAGGAATTGCTTTGCAATAACACATTTTTTTATACTGTACTAGCCGTTGAACCCGTTGCTCCGCAACGTCAGATAAACATACACGTGATCGGTATGACGGTTAAATGTTATACACGATTTTATACAGTCTTTCGGGTGCACAGGTATAAATTCGTAGTCTAAACGTTACGGATACACAGGTATAAATAGTAGTCTAAACGTTACGGGAACACAGATATAAATATGTAATCTAAACGTGACTGTCACACAGGAAAACAATTATCATATAGTAGATATGGTGGTATGATGTTAACTTGTATCGTATATCAATATATAATCACTTTGTAAACATTGGGAAAATGTAAAAATATAAGCCCAATTAGGCGAACGAACCAATGCTTTATTATAACTTTATTCTAATTATTGAAAATATTATATTAATACTTAACGGCTTCATTTCTTATTATAAATTTATAAATATTATATTAACTGCCATTTATCAACCAAAGACTGTTTCTGTTCGAAGACAAGAGGTAAAAAAGTTTTGATAACATCCTCCCTTTTTAAATCTGTCTTTTCATCAAACTCACTCCATTGGGTATCAAGTGGCCAAGGACGAGTGAAAAGTATTTTAGACAGTCTTTCACTAATTTCCTTACCACAACATTTGAAAGATCCGACGCCTTGAATATAAATAATTTGATCATAATCGTTCTTTACATCTTTCTTATCTTCATTATTTTTATTTTTTGATCGCGTTTGTGGAGCATTTCTACTCTTTAATTCTGCTTTTGATTCAACCGCGTTCTCTCTATCTAAGCCAAGATCGATGTAAATGCCTAGAATCTTATAACCCTTCTTCCATTTACCAAAGGAATTTAATGGATGTATTAAAGAAGAAATATCCTTAGCACCAAAGGTTGTTTTTTTTTGAATTCTTGTTTTAATTGAAATAATACCATAGCCAGCATTATACTTGAAGGGAATGATATGATCAATAACAGGAAAACCTAATGGCATTTTGAAAGCAGTGTGGCGGTGATAAGCTTCTATGACAAGATTCGCTGTTAGAAACTTCATCCCCCCAGATTCCACATATTTTTGATTGGTAGCTAACAAAGATGTCCAATGGTTAAAACCAATTTCTGCCTCATCAATACCCATTCTATTAAGTAACTCATCAAGACCATCTATTTCTTCGCGTAATAAGGACTTTAAAAATAATTTCAGAGGAACTTTTTGCAAATATGTTACTGGTGAGTCAGGGAAACATTCCCTCACAGCATCTGCATAAGCTTTTGAAAATAAGATACGATTAACAAGTTCTCCTCTTTCTCCCGCTTCAACAACACCACGACTAAACAGTTCCAACAGTGTGTCCAAGCAATTTTCCCAACCAACATCAATAATACCTTTAAGTGCCCCGGATGCAAGGATAGGATCAGAAGGATATGTACAAAGAATACTTGTACGATCAAGTGAAACTCCTAATGCAGTTGCCATATGGGATGCTATCAAGCTGTCTACTTCTGCAATTCGAGGGGAAACCTCAAGAGATAAGGAGCAAGCCATACATGCAAGATTCGCAAGATGATCATTATTCTTTTTACTAAAATTGCGGATCTTTTGTGAAGCTAGGTGAACAAGGTTTATAAGACTAACTCCGGCTTGAGCAAGGGAACCCCAAAGTGGAATTCCTAGATAAACAACCCTTGTATAATCATATTCTTTACCAACATTTTCGGCAAGCGGTGCTAATACATCCATGGTGTTGACATCTAAATACGCAGGAAATATAACGAAATCATGTGATCTGGCAGATCTAGTGTCTTGTGTCACTGGAGGGAGGAAATTGCCAATCTTTCCACTTGTACTGAGAAGGATATTAAAGAATCCAACCCACGAAATATCTCGAATTTGTCGTCTCCATTTAACAAAATAGGTTTCATCATCTTTTGCCTTTGTAGCCTTTGCAAGTAATTCATGCGCCTCATCAATACAACAAACTATAGAGGCTTTGTGAAATAATTTCTTCACAAAATTTTCATCACGAGAGTCTGATGAAGGTTTTTTTTGTTGTAATAATGATTTAAAGACACTTCGCCAGAAATCATTACACTCAGCTTTGTGATCATCTTTAATTTGAATATTCCAAAACTCCTCTGCGCTCCAGTTTTTATTCTTAATTTCTTTGATTGCTATTGATAAGAGGGCCCCAAATTTATAGTCCCGAATCGTTTCCAGAATTTTTTGAACATAAGGTGTTGATGCAGGGTAACCAGAACTACACTCATGTCTTTCACAAATGTACAGGATATAGATCCCCTTGGTTCTCAGCTCCCCCACAAGCCGTGTTTTACCAGAACCAGAGCTTTGTATGATTGTTAAGTAAGGGGCGTATGGTTTTATCTGCTGGTACCATTCATCATGAAATAGTTTTAGTCGCGAACAGAAAGTTTCCAAGGTTGTGCCTTGGTATTTAACTTGAAATGCTTCTTCAATACGATTTGGTTCAATCTGCTTCGCATCTGCAAAAAAATTATAAGATGGGCGCTGATTAACTAGTTGCTTAATAATGCATCAAAGTTTCTAGTATACATTCTTACCTTCTTCTTTCTCATCACTTGAAGAGCTTTCATCATCTAATGATGACAAGTGAGGAAAATGTTAGAAATCAGTGTGTAGATTTTGAAATAACCCATGTTACGCATACCATTTTCTGTGACTATAATATCATATGCATTATCTTCCGTATTGTGTAATTCCGTGACAAGTTTACTGTCCTCCAAAGTTTCACTTCCACGGTGAATAGTGACATTTCCTGATATATTAAGCTGGGCTTTGATCGTCCTTTTCAGATCATTCACATCGGATACTCTCATTATTTTCAAGACACTTTCCGGTAAAGAGACGTATTCATAATTATAGCGTACCCATATTTTTTTATCTTTTTTTTTGCAGTTAGATGGGATGAGTCAGACATTTCATAATAAAATTCGTGTATGCCAAAACTATCAATTACCTTGAAGTTGGAGTCCTGCTATACCAGATATTAAACTTCCTATACCTAATATAAAAAAAGATCATAATGAATGAAATGCGAAAAAATAAAGCCAGGTCACGCATGTTAATTAAATTTATTACGACTCACGTACCAGCAGTGGATTGTTCTACGATAACGCAATTATGTTTTTGGGCGGGTTTTGCGATAAGAAGCAGGAAAGAAAAGCACAAGAATAAGTAAGTATTCGGTATTGTTGACGAATATGACAGAAAAGAAATATTGTTCACCTTCTTTAATTTCATTAATCAGCTTCAAGATTTTTTTGGCTGGGCCAAGGGGTATTTCTAGATTTTTTGTAAGATATTCTTGGGTTATTTCAAGGAAAGCGACGCCATCGACCTCTTGAGCTGTTAAGGTATTTATATGAGTATCAATGTTTTCTAGTCTTCCTTTCAAAAAACGATTAAGTTTTTCTGGAGTATTCAATTCCTTGACTGTCGATAAAGAAAGATCAGATGTGGAGGAACCTGCAACGTTAAATGACATAACTTTTGCGATTAAAGAAGTAATGAAAGAGTAGAAAAATTTTTGAGGAGTATGGAGTATATATATATGAGAAATCGGATTGTCGCACAGATTGTTCTGATGATCAGTCCAGATTATAATTAAAAATTTTAAAAATTTCTTTTAAAAAAGACTTACATCATTTCCTCAATTGTTAATATTTCCTAATATAGGGATCAAAGATTTTTTTTTAATATCTACTGACGCAATTGCAATATGAATTAATAAAGTTAGTTCAATTATATAACAATTACAGTATTAATCCACTTATACATTAAATTTATTGGTCGAAAAAGGAATATTTGGCCTTAATAAAATTCGGCCCATATTCAATCAATTAGTAATGATCTATGATTAGGCTAATATTTGACTTTGTCAAATAATGATTAATTATATTAATTAAAAAAAAAAGAAAATATAGTATTATAAAATAACATCAAAAAAGACTCACTTATAAAAAACCTTTCAACCAACAAAATTGTCAAAAGAAACGCCTCTATTAAAGAAAAATTTCTAATAGAAATCCTCCATCAATTTCTAACGAAATAATCTATCAAATATTTTCACCTAGTATTAAAAAAAATCTCAAAAGAAATTCTTTATCAAAAAAAAAGCCCCTCCTATTAAAAAATAATTCTTTAATGAAATACTTTATCAACAAAAAAATCTCCCCCCTTAAAAAATTTTCTAACAAAATTATCTATCAAAAAAAAACCTTCCCTATTAAAAAATTCTCTTATAAAGAAAAAATTCTCAATGATTTTTTTGCATATTACAAAAGGTGATATTATCAAAGTCATGATATGTTTTAAACTCCAGATAATTGGTAAGACGCTATAAATGGAATCCAAAAGGATTTGATTTCCATAAATGGAAAGTCACTTGTTGTGTTGATCGACATGAAAAACATGTTGTTTTATAACAAGTAGCATTGTACTATGGCCCGCCGTAAGCACGGAAAGGTTGATGAAAAATCATCATGCACCATGATGATTTTTCATCAACCTTTCCGTGCTTACGGCGGGCCATATTGTACGGTACGCCATATTTAATCTATCTTATGATGTATATGAATTTGCAGATCATTATTTACAGCGTTCTTAAAAAAGTGATTAATCTTAATAAGGAAATCATCATCTTATTTTAAAAAGTTTTTTGAATTGATGAGATTGTGATAAAATCTAAAAAAAGAAGACAAATATCAAAAATCAATATAATCAATAATCTTTTGATTTATAAAAATTTTCTGTCATCTTTTTCATAAAAATAGAATAAATTATAAAAATGGCTGCTACTATGAGCGTATTCTGTCTAATAGAAACCAAGTTTAATGATTCAAAATCTGGAGCAGAGTTTGAGGATGCAGTTTTCAAAATAGGACAACAGTCTTATGAAAAATTCAAATGGAAAGTTTTTTATAATACATGCAAAGGGTCTTATCAATCCTTTAAAAAAAATGACATTGTGAAAATTTACATTTATCAAAGTAGATGGTATCATTATTTTGATATGTATTTTATCACCTTTTTTTAAACATAAAATATTTTATTTTGTTTAACACATATTAACTATTAATAAAAATTATATTTTTTTGTTTTTAAGAATTTGAACTCCTTTTTCCAAATTCGAATAAACAAGATATTAGTCTTATACCTCTAATTTTGAATAATGATATTTAATAATCTCTTTATATTTCACTAACCTTAACCATTAATAGAATTTTCAAATAAAAATATTGATTAGTAATATTGTACTATATATTAATTAAACAGGAAAAATATTTATATTGCAACAATATATTACACCAAACGTATTATATATATGATTATGGAACGATAACAAAAATTTATTTTTGAAGTTGAATGAAATAATTAAAAAATATAAGAATTCTAAATATATTTCGAACGAATTGAGATATTTTTATTTTTATCCATGTGATTAAGAATTTTAATAGTAAGTAAGAATTTTAAAGTAAAGATTCTTGTATTTTATGTTTGTTCTACATGATCTGATGATCAAATAAAATCTAGCGCAAAGAATCGTAGAATATTCAATTAATAGAGACGCTGTTATTTTTGAAATATATTAGGAAGATTGTACGGTTAACAATTGGACTTCCAGTTCTACTTCCAATTCTTCTCAATTTCATTCCAACTTCTTAAGAAGAAAAAAAGAATCTTCTTATTTCCGAATTTAGAACTGATCACCGAATCTCCGAACGTAATTGTTCTTGGGTTCTTGGGAAGAAAAAAATTACAAATATGATTTAAATTATAATTATTTATATTTTACAAAAGAAATTTTTATTTTCGAAATAATATTAGCTAAGCTAATATCTAAATTTAGTCCAAAAATTCTTGTTATATAAATTTGGTCAATTCTTCATTTATGTGCTGTATGACCTATACCAATATTTCTTGGGGATGACGTAACATTAATAAATCACATTCTATTTGTTGTTGTTATAAGATAATTTACACTTGTGAAATAAGGGAGTGTAGTAACCGTAGTATGCATGTAATACTATCATTACGTTCAATAAATTATTACCTTAAAAAGGTTAGAGAATTCTTGATTAATTTCGTTACAAAAAATTTTCTAGGTGTCAATTTTATTATTTTTTAAAAAAAACGTATTGATTATTTAAATCTTAACGATACAACAAAATTTTTACTTTCCTACTACATATATATAAAGATATCGTTATAATTTTGATATGTTATTTTTTCAAAGATTTTCATATGGAACCCAACATATCGTTATATCGGAGTTTGACTTTTTATTAAAATCTGATCAAGTTGAGAAACGACTAAAGAATAACTTTTAATTTCATTTTTTTAACCCAATTTAAAATTACAGATACAGATATGAAAAAATTTGATTTTTTTTAGATACAACAACTAAATTTATTAATTCAAGAACAATCTATTATACGTCAATTTAAAAATATAACATATGTGGGGAAAAAATTATTGTATAATTGTATACCGCAGATCACCAAATTTTTTTATTTCAATTTGCAAATTTGGGTAACAAGAATCATATGAACAAATCAAAAAAAATGTCAAAGTGTTGCATTTCAGATATGTTACATTGTTACATCTTTCAAAAGACGTTACACTGCATACAGTATGAACTATAAGTCATATTAAAAAGATTTTAATTCGATATAGATCAAAAAGAAAGTACTTATTTGAAACGAATCTTTAATTCGGGTTTAACTTTTGCATTTATAATTACTTAATTCAGTAATGGCAAATGATTCTTCAAATGACTGCTGAAACCTCTGATAATCTGATTTAAAAACCTCAATGTTGCTAGCATGTGACTATCATGTGACTATACAGTAGATTTTTTTCATTTTGACCGTCTATTTTCTACATTGCTAGTACTCTATATTAGCTATATTGAAACATTAATTGAAAAGTTTTTCTTTTTTAAATCATAAAAAGTGTGGATTGTTTTTTAAGAACATTTATTTGTAAATTGTAGATTCTGTCTTTTCACTTCATTTTGGCTATATAGACAATAATATGACAACTTTTAATTTAAAGTATGGTTATTTTATTTGTCAATGTTCAATTTAACTTCTTAAAATTTTTACATGTATTTCTTGATTTGGTGAAAATAGTAATCTATATAATTAAAAAATTTTGTGACGTTTAGATTAACTTGGCCAGTTTATTACGTGACGACCGTAACGTTAAACAAATTATCTTATATTCAAACTTTTCTTATTCAATTAGAAATACTATTTATTTTTTCTATTATATTAAGCTTTACTACTGAAGACTCATGTATATAAATACCTTAATATAATAAACTATAAATTATAAAAAAAATATCACCCCTATTTAAATATCACGTACATCACGTGGTATAATATTATTAATCGCCTTCTACTTCTAAAGTACCACTAGGGCCCCGGATAATTATAGTTGAGGTCACATCTGACTATGTTTTAAACTTTATACATTATTTATCTTATAATTTTATTAAGTTAATATTATAAGATAATATAGAAAAAAATGGTTCTTTTAAAGAAAAGAATCTTTTGATACCAAAATTATGCAAATTTACTGATTAAAATTAGAGATAAAGTTGTGTAACAAGGCAAAATTTGGCAAAAAAATATACACTTTTTCACAATCGGTATACATAGAAATATTCAAAAAAATAAAAAACTACATTATTAAATATTACTTTTAAAATTACAAAGTTATAAATAGTAGGAAGGCAACTATTTTATTAAAAATTTACATTTATATCTTTTAAAATAAATTCAAAATGGCAATAATAAATTTTTAAAAATTCTTAACATAGGGGATATGACCTTGATTATAATTGTCCGGGGTCCTGTACCACTAGTATCAATAAACTTATCAATAATAAGAGAATTTCCTTCAACTAGTATACTTTTAGATTCATTAGATTCATAATTTTCTTTTCAAAGATAACATCTAAGTGTATTCCGTCATTCTGTCTGCTTTTCCATTGATTCGAATTTTTGCCATAAAATATTAACTTTTAGGGTAGCACTATACCTCCCGTGATCTTGCGTGATGTCACGTGAGTCATACGACCGATGTCGTCGGTTATAAGAAAAATTTGGCCAAGGATTCGGAGGATTCGGGGGATTTGGGATGTTGGTTCCCATCCCCATTTATTTGGGCGGTAAGTATAGGTGGTATAGGTGGCACGGTAATTTTTTGACTGAAACCGTTTCTGATCCAGATTCACTGTATACTTTGAATGAAATAGTATACTTTTAGTTCCACCAACAAATATCTCCAATAATTCGAGAATAGGCATACCAAAGATGAAATTCCATACCAACATGATTTGTAAATTCAAATAATTCTGATTTTCTTATTTCCAAGGTATAAATGTTTGATTTTGTTTCAATTCTACCGATAGTTTGTTCTATTGTTACATTTGTATAATATTTAAAAGCAAAATCCCCCACTTAAAAGGTTAACGCTAGTCTTATATTTGGAGTATTACTATTGCACTTATATTACAATTTCTAGGTTCAAATAACCAATATTGATAATAAGAGTATGATATATATGCTTTTTAACCGTTACTGTTTAAACTCATTCCAACGATATTATTATAATTATTACCATCAACTTACCTTTATGACCAATATTGATATATATGGATTAGATGCAGAACTGGTATAGATCCCGTCATCATTGTTATCCAAGCTTGAAGCTGACTTTGAATGAACTATTTTATATGATTCATTTTATCAAGTTAAAATCTTTTGTAGAATCGATAACCCTTCATTAAGTGTTTGCAGGTTGTACTTGTAAGTTTGGGGCTTTAATATGGTTAGCATATTAAAAAGCCGTTTGGAACAGTCTATTGGTCTTCTGTGACATGAAATTACAACAAAAAACAAACAATTATCTTTAATTTTTCTTTAGCAACAGCAGGATCAGGAACAGGAAGTGGTTCAAATATTTGAAGAAAAAGAAGGAGGTTCTCAATCAAGCCTCGCAAGCCTCGCAATTTGGGAAATCGACGATCAATGAAGAATGTAAATTATTCGAACAAGATCACGAAGTAATGAAAATACTTTTAGAAAAATATAAAAATTATGTTTGTATTAGATCAATCAAACTGCTGTTTTAATTTAACAGTGTGTCACTAATTTATTCGGGAATGAAGAATTTCAGTTTATCATCGTACCCAAACTTTAAAAATTGACACAAAGTCTGATCGTTAAGAGGTTATTAAAATATTTATAATATTTTGTTGTCAAGCTCAAGATTAAATGAGCAGGGGCAATCAATCCAAAAAAAGTGCGATCATTTAATAAAAATAATGAGAAATTTAAATAATTATGAGGTCTGATTTTCAAGTCAATATAAAGAATAGTATAAATTGACCGTGAAACCATTAATTTGCCAGGAAAGTCGGTATTTTTGAAGACAACCTATAAAAAATTTTATCCGTTATTTCTGTAAAAACTCCGTAAAAATAAGCCTTTCACAGAAAATGTAAATAATTCGATAAATTCCATGATATAAGGTTATTAATTCCGGAAATATGAGCCTTTTACGGAAAAAAGATGGAATATAAAAAACGGATCGACTTTTTTTACAGGGCAACTAATGATATTCATCAGGTTCATTCAAATTATTGAGACATTTTAACCTACTTGGTAAAGAGAAATAATAAAAATACAAATAATTGGTCAATTAATCATAAGCACTATTAAAATTAGCTTTTATGTTTCACCAAATTCGTGAGAAATGCTTGTATTCCTTTTTTTAAATAAAGTTATCAAAAAAGTAAACATAACATCCAATTAATTAAAAATTTCTAAATTCGTTTGTCAATGAAAATGCCTCGATTTGAAGGCGTTTATTTTCGTTACACTATTCCTCAAATTTCAGCCTTCAAAGAAACTTACATTTATATCGCTTAAAATCATATATGCATATAATAAAGAATTTTCTTATGAGATATAATACTGTATGTTCAAGGTCATGATTACTAAAATAGTTTGCAAGAAAGAAACATAAAAATGCAAATATTACAATATGTTAGATAGTGAATCTTTAAAACACTTTATTTTTATATCCGTATTGCAATTATTTTTATCAAAGAAACATTCAAGTATTTTCAAAAAGAAATTGTTCATTCATCCACTTTTCCTTAACGTATATTTCCAATCGTCGATTCCTGATAATGTAAGTTCAATAAAATCGATAAAAAAAAATGTATAAAATTAAATTTATTAGTCCATACTTAGTTTTTATTTTATTTTTATTTTTATTTTTTGGCTGTTGAAATCGGCAAAATATTCTACGAAATTATCAAATAAATCTTGGAAAGTCATTTTCTTTGGATAAATTGGAAGGGGAGTTGAAAAATATGGGATTTATTTGGTTATATCTTCATTTTTCCATGGTTCATTGTGAATATGCTGCAAATGGTAAACTCTTGTTTTTGTATATAACAATACTCTTTTGGAACCTTTTAACTTAAACCAAGTTTTTGATCGGTAAAAAAAAGTTTATTTTATAATAATTTTATTCAACAATTATATACATATGATATAAAATAATTTCTAACATAAATTCTAGTTTGATTGAACGTAAAACGATCTGAAAGTGAAAGAAAAGATGGTGGCTAAGTCCTATGGTTTCTTTTAATGAGATCTAGATTAATAAGGAATAATAACAGAATTTCGTCGATTTTAAACAACAATAATGAAACAGGATCACAAAGAGCCCGAGCGAGTACCACTGCTACTGCCACTACAACTAATACTGCCACCGCGGCTGCAACTACTACTACTACTGCAACTACTATTGCAACTACTATTACAACTGTTACTATAACTGCAACTGCTATTGCTACCATCATTGCAACTGCACTAACTACACCTGCTACTACACATACCTCCACTTGATAATTCTATGTATCAGAATAATAACCTATCAGAAGAAATATCAAAATTATTTTTGTTTCTCAAGACAATGAAGCGTGAGCAAAAGGAGTATTAAATAAATCTTCTAATAATTGCGTTATTGAAATACCCAATCAAAAATAAATAGCAAATTTTGATTATTAATAAATAATAGAAAATACATCTTTATGTATCTTCTTTTTTAATAAAAACTCATCTATCCTTTTTACGTACTAAATTACATAATGTTTCCATATATTTTTGCATAAAATAGACCTCTACTTCTAATCGCAATATAAGTTTGCATGTTTCTCGTGAATATACTGTATAATAAACTAGACTGTATTCTCAAGATCATTTTCGTTTCGGGGGTGTATTTGAGATTCCTACTTCCTCAGTCTTTCTCCAGCATAATCTTCAGAATATAATATGTAGTATCATCTGATAATAGCTTGTTTTCATTGAAATATACGCGAGGTGATCGATTATATGTCAAAAAAATTTTGGATAGAGAACCATATACATTACTTTCTGAATTATTATTTGGAAAACCACTTTCCATAAAAGAAAACATGATGAAGTAGGTCCAACTCGAGTCCATTCTTGCGCACCATCATCCCAATTCCACCTTTGTCCCTCAGAACAGACGCTACCAAATCCACCACTGCCGATGTATCTGACCATTTCAAAAGTCTCGAACGGGAACCATTCCAAATAATCATAAGTTTGAGAGGCATAAAGTTGAGTATAACGAATTAATTTATCGATCACTTTATTTTCAGATGTCCAATAAGGAAAGTTTTCCTTCATGGAATTAGTTTCATAATCTTTACATCATCCGAAAGAGATTCTAAGTTTCCCGCATTCGGGACAGTCCTTTAACTCTTTTGAGATAAATTTATTTTCTTTATATTTTCCTCTTCCATCTCAATATATGAATCTGTATTATAAAATATTTGTTTGTAGGTTTAAATTCTAAACATAACTCAATGTTTCCGTCTGTTATTATCTAAGAGATCAATACCGCTTACATCACTCCGTAGTACCTATTTGCTTCTTAAAATCCTCTATTAAATGGATCGTGTCACTTATATTCTTCAAAAAAAAAAAATTTCTTTAAATAATTAGTAATATTATTTATTCCCTTTAATCCAAAAAAAGAAATTATAACTTGTTTTTAATTTTAAAGAATTTTTTAAAAAAATTTGAATACTTTTGGTCGTGTTTATATTTCTGAAAATGTTTCACAGGCAATCAATTTGCACAGAACTGGGCATTGCTTGTTGTAAAGTGCATAACAATCCGGATTATTTTTAATTATTTAGGGGTCGGAAATCTCATGGTAATAACGTTCGTCATTTTGCAAATGATTTTGTATACTTCCATATTTTTTTAAAAAAATTAAATGAATAAAATTTAAATATTTCATATATTTCATAAACTGAAAGTTTATCAAGAGTTTGTCAAACTAAAATAAAAACTTCAACTTAATAGTCTGTGCAACACATTTCATAATTCTTTATTTGGTATTTTTCTTACAATATGGGAAAGTTTTCATCTTAATTCGAATCCGTTTTTAATTATTTTTTTTTTATTTTCATTTTTCGCTTTGTTTATATGAAAATATTCAAACCTTCTAGTTTTATGAACGAGTAATACAATATAATAATATTGTGAATGGATTGAATTTATTGAAACGTTAATACAATAAAAAATTTATTATATCAAGATTCTAATTGTGGAACAAGTATAATTTCGGATATTTTAATTTTTTATTCATGTGACATATCGATTTCCAATTCTGTTTCTATTTGTTTCATAAAAATCATTTGAAGCTTCAAAATTTTAACTTTTGAAATAATATAAACACAAGCCAATATCTACCAACTAATCATGGCATATAGAAAGGCCAAAAAATGAGAGACTAACGAATTCTGGTTAATAAAGGATGGGCGCACGTTCATTGTTGTCATAAGTAAAGTCTTGTGTTCATAAAATTTAGATTACTAATATGTGGTATCTTTTATTTTCGTTAAACTAAATATAGTTATTTAATCCAAGTTTATTTACTTAATTAATTGTCCGCTTTTTTTGGTCTAATTAAACGATATGTCAGAGCGACTAATTTGAAAAAGACTCCTTCAATTTCCTTTTGATATTTATTCATTGACTTTGTTTGATCTACAACAATACTTTGATAATTCTCCTTTAAAAAAAGTTTTAATTGTAACGATTAACGAAAACATTTAATTTCCAGTTACAAAAAAAAGATAAATATTCCGTTAAATCGGAATATCACATGATGTATAAAACAATGAAGTTAAAACTTAAAATTACCAAATAATGTAATTAAAGAATCTTTCATTAATTGTCTCAAATTGGACGAAACAAAATAATGACGATAAAATATAATTCTTTAAAAAACCTTGTTCCACATTTGCGTATATAAAAAAAAAAATGTTTCACAATTTTAAAGTTTTCACGATTTTTTTTAATGTGCGTGTTTGTTTCTCGAATGATTATTGACGGTACACGTATATATAAATGAATTGTTTTAATAAGTCAATTTTGGAATTTTTATCAAGATTATCGAGAAGATAAAACGAATAACTAATTTTCCATTGAGTTTGAAGAAGATAGAAATTATAAGAAATACGTAGGTGACGTAGCAGAAAATTACAAATAATCTAGTTTTTTTACACTTGCGGTTTTTCGCTAATTGTCCGGAGCGTAGCGAAGGACTATATAATTTTACAATTAGTGTCACGTGGCGATTTCCGGTTGTCCGCACGCGTCATTTCTGATTGGTCCGCACAGAATGTGTATTGAAATTTCGTGCTACATTAAAAATAAACAAGTAAAAAAGTTTATTACCTTTTTTTTTTAGATTTCGGCTAGTAAGTATATTTTTCTTTTAAACGACTTTCTTATTTTTTTCCTAGGGTTTCTGGATTTCTTGTACATACCGGACTGGTGAGTTGTTTTTTTATTTGTTTTGCTTTAAAGAAACGTTTTTAGCGTTTCATTTTTATTTTCTTTTATCTAGGAACACAGGTTTTTTGTACATGCTGGACTTTTAAAGGTAAATTGTGAGGGCTTTTCTTACTTGTTTAACCTTAAAGAAACGTTTCTAACGTTTCATTTTTTATTATTATTTTTTTAGGGATGCCAGATTTTTTGTACAAATTGAATTTTTAAAGATATTTGGATTTTTGTACAAATCTTACGATCCGGACTTACAACGGTTTCCGTTTCCTAGTATTGTAATACTGAACACGACAGCAGTTTAATCTTTTCTTTACATAAAAAATTTTCATTTTTTAATAACTATCGATATACAAAAACTTTAAACTTATTCATAATAGTCACTCAAAAAGAAACCAGCTTATGGCCCTTATGGCCGAATTCTATTTAGAGAAGAATAATCCATTTTTAATTTTTCAAACGAACGTTAGTCAAAATTATAAATAAACCGTTGAATAAAACAAGAAAAAAAATCAGTTCTCGTTCATTTCGAAAATGCCGTGTAATAATTGTTTGAAAGATACTCTTTTAATAGGACAAATTAAAATGTCTATCTTCATTAATTATTTACCGATAAGGAATAAATAAATAAAGCTGGGTATCTTATAATTGTCTAACATTACATGCGCACAGTATCAGCCGTTTCAAAATGATGTCGATCAGATAAGTGGCCACACAGTTTTTGTGCTAAAATCAAATGGTTAGCTTTCGCATTATCACATTTTCTGTGTTTGTCACCTGATCGACATCAATTTCACTTCTCTTATATATTACAAACCGACCTCATTGTTATCTCATGATGTAAATCAGCAAAAAAAAAAATTGTGGTTAATGACAGATAATAGTTTGCAATAGTGGAACTTACAATATATAGCTAATTTAAGGTAGTAGGAAAAAGTACTACAACGTTACTGTATGAAGTAACGGTTTTGGTATGGAGGGAGGTAATTTCGTTGCCAAACTTTAGATATATTTTATATATTTGTATGTTCTTTATCATATAATTAATTAGGAAAACGGAACCGTTTAAGTCCTTCGCGTTGCATAACTCGCAAATGTTACGTTGACCTACGTGTCATTTATTTATTTGGCATAATTCCAGGGGTCAAATAGGTAGTGCTACATAAATCGTGATACATATTTAAAAAAGGAAATAAAATTGTCGATTGTGACAGGGACAAAAACGGGGTTAAAGTAAATTAACGCTTCGGACAATGAAGTATCTCATTTTACCAAAAAAAAAAAAAAATTGTGTAAATCATCACGAGAGCACTTCTATCTGTTTCCTATTTAGGCTCAAATCCCATTTCCAAATTAATGGACACGTTATGTTTGTATAACTGAAAATTAATTTTGACACTTTTACGCAATCATGTTAAACTTTCATATTACGTCCATTAAGATCAGGTGTGGGACAAAATATTTGAAGTTTACAATATTTTTTTTTACTTCAATTTTAAAATCTTCATTTTTGTATTTTTAATTACTTTAATAATACTATTTTCTTTAATTTTTTTTGCTAAATCATGTAATTAATTATAATAAATAGTTTTGAAATTTTTATGTTTGGATTGACACATTAACACAATAACTTTATTCGGTAACTAGAAGAATGTAAAGTTGTGCTTGTCCGCTATACACTTTTGTATGTATTTTTCTAAATATTTGGAAAAAAAATATTAAATATTACTTACATTCTTACCATTTTTTCAAAGGATGTTAAAAGATGAGAAATTACGATACGAAACCAATTTATGATGCACCGATGATTATTTTTTAATCGATGAGCCGAATTTTTCTCGGGATTATTTGTTTTTTGGCGTAAATGATCTGTCAAAATTATAATTATTATTTTTAAAAGACGATTAGTAATTTTTTGAAAGCAACTATTCAGCCAATATCAAATTAACCTAAAATGGTTAAATTTGGCTTAATCTGATAGATTACGGGCCGATCGACTATGTTTACTTCGGTTCAAATTTCGGGATGCATGCAAGGATCACTATATAAAAGTTTGAGTTACAAATATAATTAAAAAATTCATTATAGAATATTAACATGATTTTTGTGCTTTTATTTGTGTTAAAATTTGTTAGGATATTTTCGTATAATTATGTAATTGACTGGAAGGTTTAAAATTATTTAATACTAACTTAATTGAATTTACAAAAATGAATTTCTTTAATAATATATAAATAATATATATATATATATATATATTTGGACAAATAAGTAACCGGTCCGATTAATAGAAAATTTTAAGAAGAAAATAGGTACTACAGAGCGCCGTAAGTTTGTGAGGGTATTTATCGTCAGCGGTATGAGTTTGTAATAGACAGAACTATGTATTTATGGTTAGAAATAATTCAAACCTGCAAATAAATATTTTTATAATGCAGGATCATATCTCGAGATGGAAGAGGACAGTTATCAAGGACGTAAGTTTATCCCAAAAGAGTTAAAGGATTGTCCCGAATGCGAGAACCCAGAACCTATTTCGGATGGTGCAAGGATTGTGAAACTAATTCCATGAAGGAAAACTTTTTTTATTGGACATCTGAAAATAAAGAGATTGATGAATTAATCCGTCATACACAACTTAATGCCTTTCAAACTTGCGATTATTTGGAGTGGATCCCGTTCGAGAAATTTGAAATGGTCAAATACATTGGTAATGGTGGATTTTGTAGTATCTATTCAGCACTTTGGATGGAAGGACCAAGATGGAATTGGGATGATGGTGCGCAAGAGTGGGCTCAAGCTGGTCCTATGACTGTTGCTTTGAAACGTCTTGATAATTCACAGAAAATTTCGAGTTCTTACATTAATCAGGTAATAATAATAATATTTTCCGATACTTGGAATCCATGCATCGATTTGCATATTGACATTAATCATTTATTTATAGATTAAAACGTATCACAAATGCTTACAATCGGCTTTATTGGCTGAAACATTTGGAATTACAAAGGATCCAACATCTAATTATATGATCGTTATGAAGTACCAATACCTTGATCGTCATAATGGGATTCTTTCTTGGAAGGATATAATAGATATATTACAGGGAATCGCTAGAGGTCTTGAAAGAATCCATATTGAAGGAAAAATTCATAGAAATCTTCACGGAGGAAATTTATTCATTGAAGATGATGAAATCTTAACAGACGCTCGTATTAGCGATGTGGGTCTTTATGGACCATGTTATTATCATGAAAATAAGAATTCAGGCCAGGTATATGGAGTTTTGCCATATATTGCGCTGGTCCACAAATTTTGTTTTTTGCAAAAAAAAAATTTCCTTTTTAGAACTTGTGTAACAATAAATTCCTAAAATGGGCCCGTTAAAGCGGATCTTCCCCAGTATCACCGTGGATTCGGATTATCTCGAATTAAATTAATCCAATTTAATTTTTTGCATAGATAAGCTGCAGTTGGACGGTTTCCTGATTCATTGTCCCAGCATTGTTGCATTAATTCTGCATAAAATTTTGGTGTATCATCTGGAATTTCAAGTCTTTCACCATCGCAAATGCTTTTTGCTAAATAATTATCATGCGCTCTATCATACCAAGGTCTCTTTCCAGTTGCGAGAATATTCATAATAATTCCAAACGAATAAATGTCAGAAGCAGAAGTATAATTTTCACCACGTAAGACTTACGCCTATCGCCAAAAAAGGATATGATCGACATAGCGTTTATAATTCTGGCCAAAATTATAATTTGGCCGGAATTACTGCCGATCAATAATAATCTTTGCGTATGACCTGGAATTCACAACGACGATCTACGCCTGAGCCGGATCACGTTGCGGCTAATTATTTTTCGGATAACCACACCATTACGGGGTTTTATTTTTTCAGGAAATTCGGACCATCGATTTTTCCAAACTTGTTTTATAAAAAAAAAAGAGGTTCGGAAAATGTTGGACACATTTAGAAAAATGTCCGTTCCAACTTTTTGGCACCATTGGAATTTCTGTTTAAGGATACGTCAAAATTATAATACAGTAAATTACAGTATATAGTAGTTAACATCAACTATTTTTTTTAAAAAAAATAAAAAATAAAAAATGCAGACAAAATTAGTAATAAGTCAAAATCAAAAGTGTCATAATTTAAATAATATTGATATCTATTGTCATAATCAAATAAGATAAAATAAAAATAATAAATTGAAAAAGATAATCATATAATCGTAATTTGGTACATAATAAAAATTAGCATAATTTATAAACCGTTAAAATGCTTAAAAATATTCATAAATTTCTATCCGAATTTTCAGTATAAATTCTGAGTTTTTGCTTTTGATAGTGATATACGATCGAAAGACTGGGAAAAAAATAGCGCAACTTACATAGTCTAATGTACTGTATAGCCAAAGCAACGTAAGAAACCAAAATTCTTCATTAAGGGCAATTCCCAATTTTTAACTTCTGATCATGCGAAACTCGTCATAAAGAGAAACCCTACCATTGTAATTGGAATGGCATTTCGGCCTACTTGTATAGTATGCATCGGGATGCTTCTCTGGATGACTATATTTTTTAGACAATTGTGAAATCATCTTCCACCTTTTCTCTTCAGCAACAGAACTTTCATCTGAAATTTGAGAAGGACTCGGATCGTCGCAAATTAAAGTAATCCATTCACCTAATTTTTCATTTAAATATGATGCTGTCGGACGGTTTTCTGGTTCATCATCCCAACATTGTTCCATTAAATCTGCATAAAATTTTGGTGTATCATCTGGGATTGCAGGTCTTAAACCGATACATATATCATTTGCCAAATTATAGTCGTGTGCTCTATTATACCAAGGTCTTTAACCAGTTGCAAGAATATTCATGATAATACCAAATGAAAATATGTCGGAAGAAGTACTGTAATTATTACCACGTAAAACTTCAGGTGCAACGTATGGCAAAAACCCATAAATTTTATTTGGATTTTCATTTTTAATAATATAGCTTGGTCCATAAAGGCCCACATCTCCAATACGTGCGTCAGTTGAAATTACTTCATCCTCAATAAGTAAATTTCCTCCATGAAGATTTCTATGAATTTTTCCTTCAATATGAATTCTTTCAAGACCTCTAGCAACTCCCTGTAATATATCTATCATATCACGCCAAGAAAGAATTCCATTAGAACGGTCTAGATATTGATATAAATTACCATTTTCGTAATACTTCATAACTATCATATAATTAGATGTTGGATCCTTTGTAATTCCAAATGTCTCAGCCAACGATGCCGATTGCAAGCATTTGTGATACGTTTTAATCTATAAATAAATGATCATTTCATTATGCAAATCGTTCCAAATATCGGAAAATAATTTTACCGAAACAGTGCTTAATAATATTATTATTATCATTACCTGATTGATGAAAGAGCTCGAAATTTTCTGTGAATTATCAAGACGTTTCAAAGCAACAGTCATAGGGCCAGCTCGAGCCCACTCTTGCGCACCATCATCCCAATTCCATCTTGGTCCTTCCATCCAAAGTGCTGAATAGACACTACCAAATCCACCACTACCAATGTATTTTACCATTTCAAATTTCTCGAACGGGATCCACTCCAAATAATCGCAAGTTTGAGAGGCATTAAGTTGAGTATG